GATCTTCTATATACGAGTACATATGTATGAGCTTATATACATACATATGTGTACATAATAACGAATTTATATATTATATATATAAAAATATTTACTTAACATAAATACTTTCAAGTAAATAAGTCATTTGAAAATATATTTTATATACTATATACATACTATATATCTACAGGGTTATACATTTTGCGGTTTCGAAAATTAACGTGAATTGTGAATGCATTTAAAATTTCTAATTTTTTTTAAATTCTTTTTTTCACTATAAAGTTTGGAAGTCGGCATTATACATATGTGAAACACTACTACATTCAAATGACCGCCTCGAATTTTCGCTAACTTCGATCGGTTTGAGATAATTTTCGACCACTTTTTGGCACTTTCTGGGCGGTAACTCAGCCGTAACTTGACGAATGTTGATTTTCAGGTACGCGAGTGTTAAAGGTTTATCCGCATAAACACGGTTTTTTAGCGTAGCGTAGTACAACGGTGTCAAATGGCACGACCTCAGTGAGATATTAAAATCGCCAAGACGAGAGATTCCACGGCCGAGAAATTTTTCTCTCAATAAAGCCATATTCGCTCGTGTTGTGTGGCGCGCGGGGCTTCTACTTATTGTCCAGATGAAGAATACCTTCATTCACAGGTCTAAAACGGGCGCTTATCATACATGCGACATATAACGCTCCGAATTGACAGTGATCGCCTCGCCGTTGTCCTTTTGGAAGAAATAAATTCTAATCACACCTCCGTACCAAAGAGCTCACCAGAGAGTAAGTTTTTTAATTTTGGTGTAATGATCTCTCTTCAATTATTTGAGTACTCTCGGCTCGCCAAATGTGACAATTTTGCTTATTTATGTATCTACCGAGTGAGAAATGTGCCTCGTCGTTAAAAAAAAATGTTGTTCGAGAAATTGCGGTCCACTGTTTGTTGTACAAGCCCCGAAGCGACGTATGTACGACGTTGTGATTGGTCAGCTGGCTTCAGTTGTTGTATGAGCTGCGCTTTATATGTATGCAGGTGTAAGCTCAAGTGCAAAATACGCTATAATTCGCCGTAAGAGAGTCCCAGCTCTTGAGAACGTCAGAAATAGGCACATTTGGGTCTTCGGCTACACTTTGAGTTACAGTTGGGATATTTTTTCGGTGCAACGAAACGAACGATTATGCTCGGGCCTTGCAATATCTATAACCGATGCAGTCGCTTAAATTTTTTTTTTTAAATTGTTACCAATTAATTAATTATTTTGACGATTATGTACACCTTAATCTCCTCTTAAAGCAGAAACTATGTGCATGTTTGGTTCACCATTTTTGTTGTATTGAGTTTTTAACAATTTTAACGCATTTCGCGGTTGTTAAGCGATCCATTTACATGATTTCCCAACTTCTAACTAAAACAAAACATGTTTTGTTTGACAATTAAGTTTGATAGAACTCAAAATGCAACGCAGTACTTTTGAAACCATGAAATGTGTAACCCTATATGTGTGCATATATATATTTCTTTTTTCGTTGATATTATTAAAATAAAGAAATGGCCGCTGATGAGTGAAATTCGATGGAATTCGCTTGCCAAATGTGATAACGCTGCAAGTAACATACATACATATCTACACATATATGAATGCTTCAAACATACTCATTCATAAGATTTTAAAACAATTATATGTACATACATAGTATATTTTTACTAAATAAATTTAACATTTTCGCGCCTCTCACACTAAGTGCATCATTCGTTCCATATGCACATTCGTACAAACATATTTTCTTCAATACATTCACCCAACCAAATAAGTTTGGAAAAGCCTAAATAAGAAAACATGCCATAACGCATGGGTACAGTGGCACAATGCACTCCAAAAAATAAAGTAGTAATTAATTTACTGCAGGGCTGTTATGGCCAAATACACGTAAATTACGTATACGCCCTATCACTCAACATAGTGGCATAATTCTACGTATACGCAGTGTAGCACCTGCCTCTCATAGTGAAAATAGTACACAATTTTGCAAATTCACAACAAAATTCCTTTTTGTATTACAAAAAACTTCTTTTCTGATCGTTGTGTCTTCATCTGCTTTGGAGCTGAACAACCAGCCTCAATCCACTGTAAACTTTCTTGTTTCAATTTAAGATTATGTTGGTGTAACCAAGTCTCATCCATATTTATACATTTTATGCACAAGAAATCGGGTGTATTCTGCTTAAAACGCTCCATATTATGCTGAATGATTTGTTTTCGTTTAAGTTTTTGTTGAATTTTTAACGTGTGCGCGAGACTAAAATTCCAAACAGCTTTTTCATATGTCCTTCTGCATGTATAATATGAATTACTCGTTTGTCTGAGATGATGACAATTAGCAATTTACGCTTAGCCAAACTGAGATCTTCAGCGACAATATTATATATGAACACTTGCTCATTGATCTCTGGTGCGATTGCGGCTTTTGCTCGGCAGTCCCTCGTGTGGATCGTCTGCAAACCTAGTACGACCACGTTTAAATTCACCAGCCCAAAATTAAATGGTGCGTTTTGAAAGTGAGGTCTTCTTATACACTTTTAATATTTGTTCATAAATTCCGTTTGCTTTTAAACCTTTCAAAACAAAGACTCTAATAACTGCGCGATATTGATATTTTTTCATATTAAAAAAATACTCTGACATGTCAACTTCAAATGGCTGGTAAACAAAGAATCAGTTGACAGAAAGACTTGTAACTTCGCATGTGTTCTCACGATAGATGTACCAACTTAAGAAAAAAGAAAAATTGGAGCTAGTAATGCGATCTCTTGGTGAGGGTAGCAACTTTTCAACCAACCTGTATTTTAAAGATGATATTATGCCAGTTCGCTCGCTAGCTGTGTGTAAATTAGCAATAATGAGAATAACAACAATTTCCACCAACGTTTTATAAAAATAAATAAAAGATATATACATATATATGTCTATATTATATATAGGTTTGTATTTAGTTAAAAAAAAAAAATATTTTTATTTTCCTCTGCGCAAATACTGCGTAGCTAAAAATTCAATAATATTTTTTCCGGCTACGCCACGCGCTACCCGTGAAAACTGAAATACTCGTATATAAGTGTGTTTGTAATCCTTCATATGCACACATAGTTTTGTACAGCGTTATACATTTTGCGATTTCGAATGCATTTAAAATCATTTTTATATATTTTTTTATATTATTATTATTATTATTATTATTTTTTTTTTTTTTTTTTTTTTTTTTTTTTTTTTTTTGAAAAAAAGGAATTTATTATAAAGTCTAAAACTTGGCATCATATGTGAAACCCGCCGTCATTCGAATGGCCGCCTCGCAAATTTTTGCAAAACTTCAATCGGTTTGAGATAATTTTCAATGACTTATAGGCACTTATTAGATGGTATCTCAGCCTTAATTTGAAGAATGTTAGTTTTCAAGTGCTCAAGAGTTAAAGATTTATCCCCATAAATACGGTTTTTTAGCGTAGCAGCTCGAAAAGAAGTACAACGGTGTCAAATGGCACGATTTCGGTGAGAAATTAAAATCGCCAATACGAGAGATTCCACGGCCGAGAAATTTCTCACGCATTAAAGTCATATTCGCTTGTATTCTGTGGCGCGTGGCTTCAACTTATTGTCCAGATGAAGAATACCTTCATTCAAAGGTCTAAAAAAGGCGCTTAACATACAACATATAACGCCCCGAATTGACAGTGATCGTTTTTTTCAAAGAAGTTAGGTCCAATCACACCTCCGTACCAAAGAGCTCACCAGAGAGTAAGTTTTTTAATTTTGGTGTAATGACATCTCTTCAATTATTTGAGTACTCTCGGCGCGCCAAATGCGACAATTTTGCTTATTTATGTATCTACCGAGTGAGAAATGTGCCTCGTCGTTAAAAAAAAATGTTGTTCGAAAAATTGCGGTCCACTGTTTGTTGTACAAGCCCCGAAGCGACGTATGTACGACGTTGTGATTGGTCAGCTGGCTTGAGTTGTTGTATGAGCTGCGCTTTATATGTAAGCTCAAGTGCAAAATACGCTATAATTCGCCGTAAGAGAGTCCCAGCTCTTGAGAACGTCAGAAATAGGCACATTTGGGTCTTCGGCTACACTTTGAGTTACAGTTGGGATATTTTTTCGGTGCAACGAAACGAACGATTACGCACTTGCAATATCTATAACCGATGCAGTCGCTTCAAATTCAAATTTTTCTTTAAATTGTTACCAATTGATTAATTATTTTGACGATTATGTACACCATAATCTCCTCTTAAAGCAGAAAATCTGTGCATGTTTGGGTCACCATTTTTGTTGTATTTAGTTTTTAACAATTTTAACGCATTTCGCGGTTGTTAAGCGATCCATTTACATGATTCCCCAACTTCTAACTAAAACAAAACATGTTTTGTTTGACAATTAAGTTCGATAGAACTCAAAATGCAACGCAGTACTTTTGAAAGCACGTAATGTATAACCCTATATACATACATACTTACATACATAGATGTGGTTAAAAATATTTTTGGTGCAAGTATAGATTTTAAGGTCATGGAAACATGGCAGAAGAACGAAAGAATGTGCTTTGCTGTGCTGCCAATTTATATTTAGACTTTGATAAAATAAAATGATTAAATTTTAAGCACAACCAGATGAAGGTATAAAAATATATATGTGTATAAGTAATACACACATACATTCATGCGCACATAAATATCTTTTGAGTATAATCCACTTAATACAACATATACATACATATGTGCATATGTATGTAACTGTGTTGGTTGGTAATTTAATTTTTTTTATTTTGTTTATAGAGCGTTAGGAATATAATTTTTTTATATACATATATTTTCTATTTTTTATTAATTTATTTTTAGTATATATTACTAATGAGCCAAATTCCACTGAAAATATGTATATATATATATATATATATATATATATATATATTTATTAATATCTTAAATTTTTTTTGTATTTTTCTTCATTTATTTTCATGTTAGCTAAAAAAGAAGCAGGAATTACAAAAACAAATGCTTCTACATACATTTCATGAACAGACAAAAGAGCTGGAATTGCGGCACAAAATGCAACTGGAGCAAAAGTATCAGGTAAGTGTGTGTGTTGGTTAAGAATTTATTTTTTTTTTTTTCATAATTTTATTTTAAAATAATTCATTCTTACACACACTACATACCAATATAAACTAACTGTGTTTATAATTAAAAAAGAATATAATTCGCCGCAGCACCTAAAATCAGATTAGAATTAATTTTAATTTTATTAATTTTTTTTATTTAAGAAAATTTATTATTTATTTATTATTATTATTAAGAAAATATTAAGCTAAGAAATTTACGCAATAATATTGCCCATGCGCCTTACTCCAAATAGTCCCTTGAATATATAAAATAATTGCATATCAATCGCTGCTTCAATATTTCTAATAAATAAAAATCACTTTCAAGTAAAAGAAAATGCTCTGCGATATTTGAGCATCGACCAAGTGGCGAACGCGACTTCTAATCAAAATTTCTTTGCACTAAACTCTGTAATTCTCCACCCATTTGACCGATTCTGCAGACAAATGGACTAGTTAAATACTAGTTTGAAACGAGTATGTCGAGTATTCAGTCATTATTTTAACACCGAGAGGTCCTACAAATAATGGCAATTGTCAATCGGAAATTGAATCATAAATATACCAGTTTCTTGAGGGGTTAGATGAGATTAAACGGCTAAAAAGGGTCTATTTATTTTACAACTTTTTAATAGAAAAAAAAATATTTTATTCAAATTTTTTATTGTTTTAAAGATATATGTATTTTGGGAAAGTACTCACCAGACAATCTTTGTTGCCAGCAATAAAAAATGAGTCGCCCTTAGCAATAAATTTATTGCCGGTAATATCGCCATCTCATCGATTTCTTATTACTGGTCACTCTAAAATGTCCGCCGAAGGCAACTCTCCTAGACGAGTCGTTTTCTTATTGCCTAAATGAGACATTTTGCTGTTGCCACTGAAACTTGTTAAATTATCTCTAAGTTGATATTTGAGCAAAAATAATATTTTATTATTTTAAATAATTCATAATTACTGAAATTCTTTTATTTCAATTTTCTTATTTTTATTTTTAATTTACTGAAATTCTTTTATATCAATTTTCTTATTTTTATTTTTAATTTTTTTTTTACTGAAATTCTTTTATTTCAATTTTCTTTTTTTTTTAATTTTTTTTTTACTGAAATTTTTTTATTTAAATTTTTTTTTTATTTCTAATTATTTTTATTTTAAATTTAATATTTGGCTGATACATTTTTTATTTAAACAAAAAATCCAATTTTAATTAAAATCCGCTCCAAAAAAAATTATTTTCTAAAAAGTTTTGATGGGGGAAAAAATTGTATGTTGTTGTTGTTGTAGCCCCAAAAATATTCCGGAAAGTAATTGTTTACGCTAGTGACAGTTCTTGGATGGATAAAAATGCGTTTCGCGTAAAATTTTTGATTTTAGACGCCTCTTACAATAGACATGTCTTATCGCGACAATATTATTGGGCCCTCACCCCGCAGGGTCATTGTAAACTGTAACTCAAAGGTCTGTGTAAAATTGCATCATGATCCGGTAAGTAGTTTTCGAGAATTTTTGACAGTTTTTGGGAAAATCGCTAAAAGCGCTGAACTTCATCTGACATTGGGTGCGCACTGTATTTCCGGAACTTTTATTCGGAACGACTGGACAATTAAAGGTCATGTTCTCCAGGTATTGTAGAAATGAATAAGACTATAAAAAAATAATTATAAATACTGTTACGATTTTACTAAATCAACCTCGATGATTTTCTAAATCCTTCGGGTACGATCTCTGGATTGTTAAATAAAACTCGCCAACTTAATTTGCAGTTTCTTTCGTTATAAAGATTTTATCTAATGTCCTTTATTTACTCNTCTTGTTTTATCGTTTCTAGAATGTACTAGTTATCGGCTTCTCTCTTTCATCTGACATTCGCCTCGCATTTTCGCAACAATACGTTTCACAGATTTAACCTTTTGACAGTTCGAAATAGGCAAAAGAAAGTTCGAGCCTATAACCCTCCACACGCCCTAGCTAACGCGGTCGGCCACTGCGATTGGAAATTTTCAAAAATAATATTTTTTATCTTTGAGTCTTATTAAAAATTTCTCTAAATAAAAATTCTGAAATGTGTACGCCCCTGCGCTGATCTACGTTTTTTTCCAGGTCCACTTTTTTTGATAGAAATCATGTTAATCGAATCTCGTTATATACAGAGTACGTATATTAAAGAGAAGTACCGGTGCGTGCCGATTGCCATTTGTTCCACCTACGGGATTGCTAAGAGAGTATTTCACCTCTATACGATAAACGTAGAAGACTATTTCCCCGCTAGCTTACAGCAAACTACCAAAGACTGACAAATTATTTACAGAAGAATAATATTTGGTAGACAATTATTTTATTAATTTATTATTATCTTGCTCAGAAATCTTGACAAACAGAGTCAATTTCTGATGGTTGTGGTGAAATAGTCTCTTAATTCTTTCGTCGCTTCTGACAGTTCACATGCTAACCGCAATCGCTCCTTCTCGTTATTTCACATTCTCTGTTATGTATCAGTCACGGCCAGCAATCGTGGGTCTTCGTCAATTTTGGACTTCACCAGAGCTACAGTGACGTCATCAGTGGAGGATTTTGGTCGACCTGCACGATGCATGTGCTCTACGGTATAATATACGGTGTGGAATCTTCGAAACCATTTAAAAAAAATGGTATTTAAAAATGATGCAATTTGGCAGTCACTGAATCGAAGAGAATCACATGGTGAATATCTGTTTGCATTGGTGGTGGAATTTCGCCTAACCTACCCTCAGCTGTCTTGCGTTTTCTCGTCTCCATTTCAGCCGATCGTGCTAAAATTCGAAAGGCAGTCTAATAAAGTAATTACAAGGGATTTCGTATTTTTTTTAGATTTAACAAAAACAAATTGACCAACTGACACCAACTGACCGAACTTTTATTAATCCCCTCAAAAACTTATATCTATGTGTATGTAAAAAGAATATATCGCAAACTAAATGACTAAATGGAAAAGCGTCACAACACAAAAATACTCAAATATTCAGAATTTAGTGTGCGAAATGTAGACTTTAGATTATTTATGTTTAAAAAAAATTTTATATTAAATATAATTAAAATTACAATTCAAATATAAAATAAAATTATGATTGAGTTTCTTCAAAAATTTGCAAAAACAAAAAACCAAAACTGTTTCGAACTTATTATAATTATTTAGTATGCGGTGCATTCACATGGCGCTTTCCAGGAACTACGAGAACAAAGACTATCCACCGCCGCCGCCGCCGCCGCCGAGGAGCAACAACAGAGAGAGCGGCGTGAGCGTGAGCGTGAGGTAATCAAGCGCAAGGAAAACTGCAGTGCCAATGCCAGCCCTGAAGTGAAGCAAATTTTAAATGTAAGTAAGCTAAAAAGTGCAAAATTTAATTATATATATTTACGCTTGTATGCGAAATGTGTATGTATTACATACATATGTATTGTATCATATATACATATAAATAGCGGTGACAAAATTATTCAATTGCATTATTGCTTATTTGACTTTTTTTTTTTTTGCTTTGCCTTTGCAGAACTTTCTAATTAACCGCAAACAGGCGGCCTCCTCCAATGGCATAACGACGACGTCACCTTACAGAAATAGGTACATACATACATACATACATACATATATTAAGCTCAATGTGTCACTAATATGCTGATGTTGATTTTTGTTTTTTTTTTTTCGTTTTTGTAATTTCTTTATTATTTTTTGTATAAAAAAGGGGTGTAGTGAAAAGTTCGTCCGGCGAATCTCTGCCAGCCGGTTCTTTAACAAGTTCGCATCCATATAAAATTCCACAGCCGCCATCATCATTTCTGAAATATGAATCAGATTTTCCACTGCGCAAAACAGGCAAGTATTTCTTAATTTTCCTTGGAATTTACCAACAAAGCTCGCTTAAAATATTTTGAATGAAAATTGTTTTGATTTTTTTTTTTTAAATTTTTTTTTTTTAATTTTTTTTTTTAAGTTACGGAAGCGTTTTTTCCATAATAACTTTAAAGCGAAATAACAAAATATTAATTGACAAAATAAGTACTACCACGCATGAGAATACATACGTACATACTTATTTGTTTACTAGCATTTTTGTCTTTTTTCTTTTTGATTAAATTAATTACATTTTTGTTGTATTCGAAATATTGTAATAATGAAGCTTAAATAACAGAAAACAGCAAGTATTTTATTGCGTACGTTTATTCAAATAAAATTTATCTACATGAAATGAAAAGGAAAAACCTTTTTATTTTCAAACTAAAATTGTTGTTATGAATTCAAAAGTTCATTAAAAAATAATTTTAGGTTTTCGAACATAAATAGTAATAATGAAAAGGCAAGCATATGCAATGGTTCGAAGTTTTATATTAATTTTTCAAGGAAATCATACATTTATAAAGGGTTTTCCAATAAAAAGTGTTATTTTGTATATCACTCAAGCAATGAAACCATTAATATTTTAAGGGTGATTTTCGGGAATTTTTATTAAAAAAAAAATACTTTTTCAATTATTTCAAAATTTTAAGAATATATTAACAATTATTTAAAAATTTTAAGAATATATTTATACAAGTTTCAAGAATATACAGTGAAATTTTTGTAGAAAAAAATTAAATATTTTTTAAGTTATAGTCGATCTCCAACGGCGCGAAAAAAAAGATCCTTCACTGCTGCAGTGATTCCGACCTACTCCTTGGATGAAATCTAAAAAAAAACAAATTCTCTACAAGATAATATTGTCTGTACAATGACCTACGATACGAAAAAAAAATAAAAAAAAAAACTGACAATATGGTGGCGTTTAAAAATTTTTTTTCAAAATCTCACACTATATTTGCCCCTTAAAGGGGAACGCTTCCGCATGGTGATATCTCCCGAAGAGCTGATCGCAATTGGCCATCGAGGTCTCTGATTTAACAACGTGCAACACTTTTCTTTAGAGCTACATGAGAGATCAGGTCTATGCCTGCAGGTTAACTTCGAGTCAATAACTCAAAGATGGAATTCGAGCAGCTATTGAGGGCATACAGCAGCCGCATTGTGATTTAGTGATGGGGAAAGTGTAGTGAAGTTAGCCGCGGCTGCTATTTGGCTGATATTGTTTACCATTATTAATGGCAGATCTTCTTCTTTTCATTGAAATAGACATTGAAAAAATGTCATTTTGCTTTGCATAGCCAAATAACAGCTCTTATTGGAAAACCCTATACTACGTTTTACCCGCGCCTTCTTTCGCATGGAACTGGAAAATGGTTCTAAGAAGATTTTTAAGTTTTTAATACATATAAATTGTAACAATCTTTATTATATTGATAATCCCCATATGAGGTTACACTAAAACTCCATTTGGATGAATCGATAAAAAAAAGTCTTCAATCTGAAAGATGCTTTCATGCACCATATTTTCCAGTAAGAGGGACTTTATTATAAATAAACTCTTTTTCTAAGAAGTCAATTGCGTTCCATATGTTAAGATGGAGTTGACTTGTATGAGAAATGTACACCCAAGAAGTTGAGATTTTATTTAAACAGACCCAAGTCCCTTATCAAATCACACAATTTACCTGGCACGCACTAATTTAGCTTATTGCTGGTTTCTGAGATATACACTTTGTCCCAAAAGTGGTTGGGTGGAATTATCGCGAATTTTTACATTTTAAAAGTACCGTTTTGTGGAAGTTTGGTTAAGAACTTTGCTTGAGTGCATCAAAATATCTCCATCTTTAGTTGAGTTTTGATGGTCACATATGAACGGACAGACAGATTTGGCTAAATCAATTTGACTCGTCATTCCATTATTTTTGATATATATTGGATTGCCCAAAAAGTAATTGCGGGTTTTTTAAAAGAAAGTAAATGCATTTTTAATAAAACTTAGAATGAACTTTAATCAAATATATAATTGCCATTTTGTTCGATAACCTTTTGCCATCTTCCTGGCAAATATAGTATTCCACGATCATAGAACTTCTGGCTTTTATTTGCAAAAAACTGAACCAAGTGCGATTTTATAGCCTCATCATTGCCGAAAGTTTTACCATTTAAGGAGTTCTGCAAAGATCGAAATAAATGGTAGTCTGATGGTGCAAGGTCAGGGCTATATGGTGGATGCATCAAAAGTTCCCAGCCAAGCTCACTCAGTTTTTGGCGAGTGACCAAAGATGTGTGCGGTCTAGCGTTGTCCTGGTGGAATATGACACCTTTACGATTGACCAATTCTGGTCGCTTCTCCTTGATGGCTGTATTCAATTTGTCCAATTGTTGACAGTAAACATCCGAATTAATCGTTTGGTTCCTTGGAAGCAGCTCAAAATATACGACACCCTTCCAATCCCACCAAACAGACAGCATAACCTTCTTTTGGTGGATATCAGCCTTTGAAGTGGTTTGAGCTGGTTCACCATGCTTGGACCATGATCGTTTTCGACTAACGTTGTTGTAAACAATCCATTTTTCATCTCCAGTTATGATTCGTTTTAAAAACGGATCGAATTCATTGCGTTTAAGGTGCATATCACAAGCGTTGATTCGGTGTGTTAAATGAATTTCTTTCAATACATGTGGTACCCAAATATCAAGCTTTTTCACCAGTCCAAGACTTTTTATGTGATAATGAACGGTTGATTTTGGTATATTTAACTTCTCTCCTATCTCACGCTCAGTTACATGACGATCCAATTCGATTAATGCTTTGATTTGGTCATCATCAACTTCATTTGGCCGACCTGAACGTGGCTCATCTTTAAGTGAAAAATCTCCAGAACGGAATTTGCGAAACCAATTTTGACACTGTCTTCCTTTTAAGGCTTCATCACCATACACATCTCGTAACTTTTTAGCAACCTGCTCCGCGTTTTTTCCTTTACGGAAATAATAAAGTAAAATATGACGAAAATGCTCCTTTGTGGGCTCCATATTAAAATTGACGCCAAACAAACAAATGTAAACAAAATTTCGCGCACTTTTTTTCTAAAGCAAGCTAAAAGTAACAGCTGATAACTGACAGAAGAAAGAATGCAATTACAGAGTCACAAGCCGTTGAAAAAATTTGTCAACGCCGACTATATGAAAAATCCGCAATTACTTTTTGAGCAACCCAATATAATACACGGCTGACCATTTTGCGGCTTCGAAAATATTTACATTTATTTTCGTATGCATTTAAAATATATATATATATATAATATGTATTCTTTTTTTTTTTAAATCACACCTCATCATTGAAAGGCGGTCATTTTTTGCAAACTTTGTTCAGTTTGAGTTAATTTTCGAAAACTTTTTAACACATATTGTGGTGGTGGCATCTCAGCAATAACTTGTTGGTTTTCAAAAGCTTAGGCAATATGTTTTTTATGTTTCCCAAATGTGAAAATTTTGCCGAGTGAGCAATGTCCATTGCTCATTGTCCAAGCATCCAATAGACATATATACGGCGCTATGAATAACTTCAGTTCTTGTGTGAGCTGGACTTTAGGTCTAAGTGCAAATTCCGCTGTAATGTGTCCTAAAACAGTACGAACTCTTGAGAATGTCGAGAAATATACTCGTACATACATATCGAGCCTTCGGCTGCACGTGAAAAACGAAAACACAGCCCTTCCACGACGATCCAGTCTCTTCAAATTTCTTTAAAATTTTACCAATTTCTGCAGCAGTTAGACTATTATGCGCACCACAATCTCCAGGACTCCGACCGTAGAGGGGAGGAAGGTAAGTGGGGATGATTCTTCGATTTAAGACAGATCAGGATTTTTTTTTATTTTTGTCATTTATTGCATAGCATATACTTCGAAGTTTGGTCCGACTAAAAATTGAAAAAATTAAATCTTTTCAAGTTTTTAATAAAATTAAAGAATTTAACCTCCGAAATGTTAGTATACCTCAGAAAATTTTTTAGTCAGCGTCGCAGAAAATATCACTCACAAAGTTAATATCGACGATAGGGGGCTTGTAAATGAGGGCACACGTCGAGTTTTCATTGCCCGTTTGGCGATAACTCAAACTTTCTCTGGTATACTGACTCGGCCGCGGTAGTCGAGTGCTTAGCATTGTGTACTGCTATTCGGAAGGCTCGAGCTCAAATCCTAGTGCCGTACTAACATCCAAAAAGTTATGAAAAATTAATTTAAATAAAAAATTAAGTTAAATTTTATAATTACGTTCGCCCCTCGGCAGGGAATGTCAAGCCCGTCGTGCGTATTTCTGACATGAAAAAAAAACTCTTTATAAAAATCCAACAGACATTTGGAGGCGGCTTAGTATAAATTGTGGGTACCACCATTTGTTGGAAAAAAATTAAGACGCAAACCACAAATTGGAGGAGGAGCTCGCCGAAAATCGCTTCAGCGGTTACAAAGCGCCAATTATATATATATATATATATACTGAAGTTAGTACTTTTTACTTCCTCCAGAGGTTAGATTTCATTTAAGGCCAATTTCAATAAAAAATATACGTGATACGATAAAGAAAAAGTCTGGAATCGGTATTAAAGCTAAAAAAAAAAACTAGTCTGCCGTTGTTATTTGAATTTCAAATTTGGTTAAAAAATAATATAAAATTGTCTCAAAACCATAAGCCCCTCAAAGTGTTTCCTTTATTACTCTCCTAGATTGTGATAATATTGACAAAGCCATTATCCCGAGTGTTCTGTATGAATATACAAAATTCTGTGATATTTTCGGCCTCTTTACAACGATTGCTACCTCTTGAATCCTTAACACACACTGAAGATTTTCCTAATGCTCTATTGGACTTCTTGTTAGGTTTTGAGAAAAATATTGTCACATAAATATTTCTATGTAAATCAAATAGAGTTGATATTTGAAGTCCTGAAAATAGCGTACGTAGAATTGAAGAATCCATTGAATATACATATACATATTGGGTCAAGTAAAATGTCAACCATTATTTTTGCAATAGATTGATTTAATGATGTGGATCTCACTTTCTATAAGTTCGATTGGATTACGCTAGATGGCGTTAGAAAGATGATATTTCGTACTCAGAAAGATAATCGTAAAAGTGTCGTTCATCAAAAATTCTGTAACAGTTAATCATGCATTGCTGATCACGTGGATTTCATTCCGTTGATTTTGATGTAAAAGACGCTCCTCAGTGTAGAAGATCAATTTGTCGAAAATACCGATAAAGTAATTGAAATCCTCGAGTTTAACCGTAATGCGAGCGCCGTTTCGGTTACCCGTCTGTCTGAACATTGCACAAAAACCCGTTTGGAACCACTTGCAAAATGCTGGATACACAAAGAAGCTCGATGTATAGTTGGCAAGTGAGTTAATTAGAAAAAACTTCATGGACCGAATTTCCAACTGCGAAACGCTGTTGAATCGTAACAAAATCGATCCATTTCTGAAGCAGATGGTGACTGGTGATAAAAAGTGCATCACTTACAGCAACATCAAACGAAAACAGTCGCGGTCGAAAGTCAGTGAGATGGTAGAAACTGTCTCCAAGCTAGGATTGACCGCGAAAAAGAGTTTGTTGTGCGTTTGGTGTGATTGGCAAATAATCATCCACTATGAGCTGTGCCACTGTGGCCAAACTCCTAATTCGGAGCTGTATTGCCAGCAATAAGACCGTATGAAGGAAGTAATCACCCAGAAGCGGCCAACAGCAGGGGAATTGTGATTCTTGAAGACAACGTTAAACCACATGAACCGATAATAACTCGCCAGAAGCGGCGAAAGTCTGATTGGGTGATTCTTATGTATTCCACTTATAGTCCGGACCAACTGTTTTTTTGTCCATGGCGTATGATTTGGATGCTGAATATTTGGTTGGTGAGAATTTGACCTTGAGAGAAGCATATGATAGTCATTTGTCCCAATTTTTTTTTTACCAATAAAAAAGAACCAATAGCGGCAGGGGTTTCTAAGAGATTGCCATATTTCCCCATGCGGGTTAGGGGTTAAAGAATTTAGCAACGGTAAGGCATGCATGCCTGTCGTAAGAGGCGACTAAAATCCAATAGTTCTTGCGACTGTCGGGTCCTTATACTGGAACGAGTCGGATTTTTATACGCCCAAGAACTTTCACTATCGCAACATTCTTCAAAAACTACTTTGTGGAATATTTTTGCGGTTACAATAACAACAACAACAATACAATATAGAGATCCACAATGATCATTATCTTCAAAATGGCCAAAAATTATCACGCAAAATGGCAATGCATATATAACATAAATCGGATAATTCCAACTATGGTAAATAAAGTCTACAATTTAATGCAGAAATAATGGATGACTTTTTACTTGACCTAATATTTAGCAAACTGAAATCCTAATTAAGATTATTCATATGTAAAGAACTCGAAAAATAATCGCGTGGAGCCAAAAAAAAAATTTCCTTAAATAAAGCTGTTTTTTTTTTAACGCAGTATATTTTTTTTTATAAAAAATTTAATTAATTTAATTTAAATAATTGAAAAAAGAAAAAAAAAACAAACTGAAATTTAGTATTGAAAAATAACCACTGGCAATATTCACAATTCACACACAGCATCCGAACCAAATTTGCTGAAGTTGCGTCTAAAGCAAAGCGTCATTGAACGCAAGCAGAGAATCAGTGGTCCATCTGTGTTACGTCGGCATGAGCGCATATTGCAGCGAAGGCAGCAGAAGCAAAATTCCGCTTTAACAAGTACGTATTACGATGCAAAGCTTTAACACTCTCTAGGTATACTATATATTTATGTGTATGTATGTAATGACGAATAGAAAACAGAGTACATAAATAGCAAAGCAAAACAAAATGAGTGAAGGCAAAAAAAAAAAAAAAAAAAAAAAAAGAAAAAAAAAAAAAAAAAAAAAAAAAAAAAAAATGCAAGTAAATTGTAAATAAATGTAAATTAAGTAAATTATTTATCAAGAAATTACAAAAACAATTTTCTTACTAAAACATTTATTTAAATAGAATTAAAAGTGCAAAGAAACCGAGATGTCATGCGATATGAAACTATTTTTTTTTCCTCAAAATTACCGTAAAATACGTTCGCGAGAGCGAAGAAGAAGAAGAAGAATTGTACATATACTTAAAATAAATCACGCCTATCGTTTTGCGATATTTCATTGCAAACTATGCAATTTGTGAGAAAAGCTTATTGCGTACATATGTACATACTCGTATGTATGTATATACAGATGTAAATTTCGTCCTTACAACAACATGGAATGAATGGGAACGCTTGCTAATTTGTTTTGTAATGCTTTGTATGTCTTTAACGCTACAGTTTAAATAATTGTTTTATTTTCGTATTACTAATTGAAATAATATCCATTAAAGATGACTTACTTGATGATTGAGATGATATACATATATACATATATGTACATATTATTTTGCTTTGCCTTTTTATACATACATATTCCTTCAGTGCTACAATTAAATTACGAATTTTCAAATCTCTTAGATTGCAGCAGCACACCGGACTCGGGCCCTAACTCACCGCCGTCATCCACTCTCTCCGCCGGTGTTGTGGGCAGCCGTGGTTCGCCGACCAGCGCACCAATACAGGAGGAAAACGAGGAGAGTGGGCCATATCAGCCCGGTCAGCGTAGTAGTATAACCGATCTCTCGCTATTCAGTTCACCATCTATGCCGAATATACCGCTAGGCGGTCCACATTTGGCCAGTCATGCACAAGCTCAAGCGAATGCCGCTAACTACTCTATGCTTGCTGCACTACGCCAACATGTACCCACAATAGCCGCTGCTCAAACATACTACAGTCCATTGGCGATACCATTCGCACGTCATCAACCGCATCCGCCACCGCCTGCGCCACCAACACATAGCACATCAATAGCGCTCGCTGGCTCAGCTGGTGTTTTGCCACCCACACCATCGCCGGTAGTGCGTTCGGCATCGGCAACGTCCACCTCATCGTCTCAGGCCTCGTTGGCCAGTGACGCATTACCACCTATAGCGCATGCTGCTTCACAGCTTTTACCTGCCGGTAGCGCTGGCGGTCACAATCACAATGTTTTAGGCGCTAGCGCTGGTAATATACATCCAGTCTCACCAATGGTTGGTGTTTCACCCTCAATGTATGGTCAACCGATAACCGATGCTCAAGTAGCGCATGCCCACCTGAATAAGCAAGGACATCGTCCGTTGGGTCGCACGCAATCGGCACCGTTGCCGCTAGGTCATCCAATCTTAACTGGCACAGGGCAGATTGGTGTTGGTCAAACGCACTATGAGAACAGTGATGTAAGTAGCAAACTCAATTTCACTTTTATTTAAAAAAAAAAAAAATTTGTTATATCAAATTGAATTCTATAGGCGGAGCAACAGGCACATATGTTGGTCACACAAAAGATACGGCAAACATTGATCAATCGAGGTAGCGCCAATCGTGAACCGCAATTGAAAGAGGAAGACGATGCAGCCGAAGTAATTGACTTGACGGACAAGAAGAGACCACCAAAGACCGTCATAACTAGTATTGTGCCCACGAGTACGTCACAAAATCTGCCAGAGGCGACAAGTGCGCCACTAGGCGCTTGCATGCCCAACACGCCGAGTAAGTTGCGTGATCAGGAGTACCTGCAGCAGCAACGGGAACTGTTATACCGACAAGCAATGCAGGTAAATTATACGAATTCTTAACATTTATTTCACAATTTTCCAAAATATTGTATAATTTTATTTATTCCAGATGGACGATGCAATCGCTCGTAGTCTAATGCGTCCTATATCACGTACGCTATCTAGTCCGCTGGTGCATATGGGTCCAAATGGCATAAGTCAGTTACCAGATACCGGTCAATATGCACCACCCATTATAACATCATCATCAGCCGATCATATACCGCCAGTTAATCTCACAGTACCACACCGACGCCGCTTACTTGAGCACTCATCGTCCGCAGCTGCAGCGTCTAGCGCATTCTCTTCATTACCTGCCATACAGCCAGCACTTGCTGTAGCTGGTGCAACCTGTGGCAAACTCACTGCGGATTTCTCTGCGCACAAAACAACCACTGGTCTCGCTTATGATAATTTAATGCAGAAGCATGCGTGCACTTGTGGTGATAACTCAGTACATCCCGAACATAGTGGTCGCTTACAAAGTATATGGGCCCGCCTGATAGAAACAGATCTCGCTAAGCGCTGTGACCGTTTGCGTTCACGTAAAGCTACATTGGAAGAGTTGCAAACGGTACATACCGAAGCACATACAATGCTATTCGCTGCGAGCTCATGCCAATTGAATCGACAAAAGCTGGATAGTCCACCTGCACTCGGTTTTGTACGTCTCTCCTGTGGCGGTTATGGTGTGGATTTGGATACCACCTGGAATAAGGATCACACTGCAGCTGCTGCACGCATGGCTGCCGGTTGTGTCATAGATTTGGCGTTTAAAACAGCTAAGGGCGATATTAAAAACGGTTTTGCGGTAGTGCGACCACCTGGACATCACGCAGAAGCGAACTTGGCAATGGGTTTTTGTTTCTTCAACTCGATTGCGATTGCAGCGAAATTGCTGCGTCAACGCATACCAGAAATAAAGCGTGTACTAATTGTAGATTGGGTGAGTGCAAATAATTTTTTTTTTTTTTCTCAAATAGAATATAATTTTATATTTGCGCATTCATTATGTAGGACGTGCATCATGGCAATGGCACTCAACAAGCATTCTATGAAAGTCCTGATGTGCTCTACTTATCCATACACCGGCATGATGATGGTAACTTTTTCCCCGGCACTGGCGGCTCAACTGAGGTGAGCTAATATTATTGATTTGGTTGACATTTTCTTCTTCATATTAATTGCAATTTCGACTAAAACTTCTTGTTTGATTTTGTTTGTAGTGCGGTGTTGGTGCCGGCGCTGGTTTTAATGTGAACATCTCCTGGTCAGGTTCATTGGATCCACCACTCGGCGATGCTGAGTATATTGCTGCATTCCGTACGATTGTGATGCCAATCGCAAAATGTTTTAATCCAGATATTATATTAGTGTCGGCTGGTTTCGACGCAGCTGCTGGTCACCCACCGCCTTTAGGCGGTTACTTAGTGTCGCCAGCATGTTTTGGTTTTATGACACGCGAACTTATGCAATTGGCTGATGGTAAAGTTGTGTTGGCGCTCGAGGGTGGCTACGATTTACCAGCCATTTGTGATTCTGCACAAGAATGTGTACGTGCACTACTCGGTGATCCATTGTCTGCGATTGCGGAAAGTGAACTGAATAGGCAGCCATGTCAGAATGCGATCGATACACTGCAGAAAACGATTGCAATACAGGTGAGGGGGGAGCTATAGAATTTAATATGTTTTGATTAAATTTCAATTAAAAAAAAATTAAGCACAGCTGTTTTTTATGTTTAGTTAAATTAAGAATTTTCTTTTGAGTTCAAAAATGTGGCCTACACATTTTTTTTTTTACATTTGTTTAAGTTTTTTGGTGTTGTAGTCGCAAAAATGTTCGCAGTAGTTTTTGGGGAATGTTGCGGGAATGACAGTCAGTGGCCGGATGAAAATCCGAGTCGTTCTGGTAAAAAAAAACCGACTATGGCGGGAACTTTTCGACTTAGCGTGGGAAAACTCTTGCACCGCAGCGTTTGTTTACTAATATTTTTTTTTTTTGCATTCAGTAAAATATTGAATATATTATTTTTTTTACTTTAAGAAAATATTTTATTTGAATTTTTTATGAGCTTTTTATTTTAATCAATATTTTGTACACGAAAAAGAATAACTTTTTTCTTGGTAATATCTATCTTTGTTTGGTTTTTTTTATTTATTGTTTATAATTTTTTATTTTTTTTTTTGTTAATTTTTTATTATTTTTTTTTTAATTTTTTATTTTTTTTTTTAATTTTTTATTATTTTTTTTTTAATTTTTTATTATTTTTTTTTTAATTTTTGATTATAATTTTTTAATTTATTATTTTTTTTTTTTTAATTTTTTGTTATTTTTTTTTTAATTTTTTATTATTTTTATTTTAATTTTTTTTTTTACTAATTTTTTTTGTTAATTTTTTATTTTTTTATTATTAATTTTTTTTTTAAGTTTTTATTTTTTTTTTTTATTAATTTTTTATTTTTCTTTTTATTAAATGTTTGAACTTCCTTGATTTATAACAAAAAAAGTAATTCCTTATGTTACAATTCTATATTTTTCTTATTCCAGTCCCAACATTGGCCTTGTGTACGCCGTTTGGCACACACAGTCGGTTTATCTGCGCTAGATGCATTAAAGATTGAGCATGATGAATCGGAAACTGTTACGGCTATGGCAGGTCTCTCTATGCAATCGATGAATAGGTATATTGTATTAAATTAAGATTTATTCCCTTTTTTATTTCTTGAAATTCATATTAACAAAAGCTTTATTTTTTCCATCAGAAATTTATCGCGCGATGACTCAGAAGAACCAATGGATCAAGATGAAGCCAAATAATTTCGAATAGTGAAATTTCGAATGATTTTTGGATTAACACTACCTTACAAAAGCAGTTGTAGTTTACGCTGCGATTTGGCAAAAGAAAAAATATATTATATATATATATATAAGAAATCCGTTAGTAATTGAGACGGATTTATAGTGGAAATTGGTTTTTCGATGGACTATGTACACAGCTACGCACCTGTAGCAATCCTGCATACTTGTCTGTGCAATAAGTTGACGAAAGCACTGTGTGTTGCTATGCACACCGCGCACTGATTATTATTATTCTTTTTTTTTTGTACAAACATACAGTGTTTGTTGTTGTGCGCACCCACTCGGCCCACTAAATGAGATTAGAAATCAGAATATTTTAGAAGCTAGAATGAATTTTTGTAACAGCTTTTATGTGTAGCTGTCTGTTGTATTTTGGGCGTTTGAATGATTAAAAAAAAAATGGAGATTTGTCTTTGTCTTTTGAAATCAACGTGCATACAAATGTACATATATATAATGCAAGGCGTTGGAGTGTTGTAAAAACGACTGTTTTTCCTGGCATAAATGTATGTACATTTGTATGTATGCATGGGTTAGCAAAAAACGTAATAAAACGTATATTAAAATTACTTGCAAAAATATATATATTTTAAATATATAATATAATTGCGTACATAATTGTATATGTACACTTAACTCCTAATATGTATGTAGGTATATAGATACAAGATAAATATATATTTATATAATATTAATTTGTGTGCGTGTGTATGTCTGAAAATGCATATTTACATATGTATGTATATACATATATGTATGTATCTTATGTATGCATGTTATTTTGATATTCAATACTAATACAAATGTAAGTGCAAAGAGTAGAGTTTCATATGTATATGTTGATTTAATGTTATAGGCGATAATGTTAGTAAAAGAAAAAAAAAGAAAAAACAATGAAAGAATTTTTAATGTAAATGTATGTAAGCTAAATATTGTAGTAGTTCATTTTCATTAGCAACAATTTTATTTTCCTTTTATCACACACACTTTCTTAAGAAAGCATCAAGAAAAAAAATGTATATGTATTTTTAGAAAGAAGAAGAGAAAAAAATATTAAATAAAATAAAAATTAAATTAAATAAAAATAAAAAACAAAAACAAAAACAAAAATGTATGTGATAAAATAAGAACGAATAAATTGCGAAAGCCAAATTCTTATGGAATTAAAAAACTAAAAAAACAAAAACAAAACAAAAACAAAAACAAAACTAAACATGAGTCCAAGCGCAAATATCAATTGTCACTGATCAAAACCAACCACCGCCACTCTCACGACAGGCAAATAAGTGAAAACAAATTAGCGCATTTAAATCACTGCAAAATCGGTCGAACCCACAGATTTACCTTAAAACTCACTTTATATATATATATATATATATATATATATATAATATATATATATATATTATTTTTAGTTGAAGAAACAAAAAATTCATTTGTGAAATAAAACTGTTTTTATTTTATTTTTTAAGTCTAATATATGTATGTTATTATTATCAGAAGAAGAGAATTGTATATATATATATATATATATACATATGTACCATATATATATGTATATATATATAACATATTAATGTTAATGTTAAATATGTTGTTGCACGTTCAATACAGTTGGACGTGTATGTTTACATGAGATATTTGTATGTTATTATTACGACTATTCTTATATGTATATGTATTTATATGTAATTGGTAATAAGATTAAGAATTTTTAAAATATATATACAAATACATATTTATACGTGTGCTTATATGTGTATGCATACAATATGTAATATTGTATACATATGCATTAATTGGGCATTGTTTTATTATAATTTATGCGCTATTATCACGCTTCGAAAGTACATATAACTGTAATTGTATGTGTTTGCACCATTATGCATCAGGAAAAAATGTGCCGTTTATTGCAAATGAGAATTTCATGGTAATTTTGAGAGAAGTGCAGTCATTTTTTTATTATTATTATTTTTTATTTTTATTTATTTTTTTTTATTTTTATTTTTTTTATTTTTATTTTATTTTTTTATTTTAATTTTTTTTTTTTTATTTTGTAATAAAATAAATGAAATAAAATGAAATTTTGTATAGTACGAAGAAATGGGTTTAAAATAGCATTAACAATAATGTATGAAATTTAACGAAATATTGTTTATAATGAAGTACAATATTAGCTTGAAAATAACAATCACAATAATTTTTCCGCAAGCACTCTGAGTCAATAATTCAAGAGAGTAAGAGAGTAAGTGTTAAAAAACTGAAGTAAAAATTTTAGTATTAAATACTTGCATATGAATATGTCTTGCAGTTAGAGTTTTTTTTTTTTTTTTTTGTTACTCAATAAATGTAAATTTTCATTTGGAATAAATGAGCACACAGTACATACACCCCTCTTTTGTAACAGTAATAAAAAACTTTTACAAAATTTATATTACGTATTACTTTGTATACCCAACCACAACTACAACTACAAGTACCCCTTATAAAATTTAATAAAAGAAAAAAATGAAGAAAAAAAGCAAATGTCTGTGCAATGCGTCGAAATAGCAAAATTACTGGAAACCCCTAACAATTGATCCAAAAAAAAAAATTACAATAAATTTGCAATGTGATTTGTCGCTTGTTAAAAAAGGAAAAAAAAATTTGGAAAATATATTTTTTTAAATGATGCATAAAAAACTGTGAAATGAATATGCAACGTTTATTTAAAATAAAACCTGACCCGATTTAAATGTTAAAATGTTAAAAAACAAAAACAAAACAATAAATGGAAATAAAAGAAAGAAAAGAAAATTTATATTTGATTGAATTTTGCTAGCACAAAACAACGAGTTGATAAATTTATTTGTATTTTATTGGATGTGTGTGCGTTACAATGTTTAACGGTCGGTTTTGAAAGTTTGATAGTACTAAGGTACTAGATTGTGGCAACAAATAAGCCAAAAACAAAATAACAATTTAAATAAAGAAGAATTTGAAACATACATACTACTTCATCTAACGGTGTACAAGCGCCGAGGCCGCAATTATGTCGTGCGTGGCACAGAAATTTTGTAAAACCAAACTTTTTCAAAGCTCAAACCGGTTTTTTTTTTGTTTGCATACACTTCGTGTTATGTCGACTAATTTGGAAAATAATTTACGTAGAGAAAGTCTTTCGAGACATTTGAAAAAAAAAACAGCAACAACAACTTTAAATGAAGAGTATAATAAAAATGAAACAAGTAATTTTATAAAATATTTAATAAAAATCACATTTTGATAAAATCTACGAAAAGAGTACTTAAATGCGTACCGAAATTTGTCTTTTGTAAAGAAATTGTAGAAACAAAAAAAAAAATCAAACGATCACAAGATTTTCGACTCTGGACGAATGAGGTGATCGAACGAATTACCATTTTTGAATTAAAAATTAAAATAAATAAAAAAAAAATGGCACAGATGGAAAATATTAGTTGTGTTCGTTGAGAAATGTCAGTAAGAATTAGCCGAATGTGGCAAATTTTACTAACTTTTGGTCGCAGTGAGCAATTGCTGTTGTTGTAAACGCAGAAATTTTCCTCGAAAGTAGTTTTTGAGGAATGTAGCGGGAATGACAGTCCTTGGACGAATAAAAATCCGAGTCGACTGACGCGGAAACTATTCGGTTTTAGTCGCTTCGTACGACAGACATGCCTTACCGTGACTAAATTCTTGAACCCCTAAACCACAGTGGAAGGAGGAACAATTGATACTGCCTAGCAGTTCGCCGTACACACCAATTGTTTGTAACGAAATTTTACAAAGAAAATAAACTTAAAGAGTTGATTCATCAGAAGACGAAGCTTTAGCAGTCTAAAACGTACGCTTTTAACCGCAAAAAAGTGCAACTGTTTCTTGAAATTACTGTGTGCTTGTAGTCTCTCTGTACGGCCCTCATCTAACGGCATTGTTATAACTTCAAAAATATCTGCTAAGACTTCAACCTTCATCAGAAGTGCCAACAGCAGATGACAGCGCAAAGCCACGTGCAAGGTGACAAGACAAATGTGGCCATTAATCGAGGTAAAGAGAAACTAAGCCTTTACACCTTCTAAACTGAAGCTCCGTAAGCATAATGCACGGACACAGTCTTATCGATAGTCTGGTAGTAGGATGGGCTGCTTTCCATACCACTTCTGTCGCAGTTGTAGGGACATACATTGATGTAGGAGGAATCGGTGAAAAACTAACACTGTCACTGCGCAGCCCACGGCGCGGTTCATTATCGCTTTATCGGAAATATCTACTTCGGTGTCCTTGCCGAGCTTGTATCGCTGGGCGTCAATAATTTCCGAAGTTTCAGAAAAAAAAACACCAGGTGGTGGAAAGGTGAAAGGAATCTTCTTAGTAGCGCAAATATATTTATCACAACGGGCTCATAATGGACTTCAGTACACTCGTTCAGGGTGCCGTAATCAAGCAATCTGTTAACTTAACTAACTTACTATTGCTTTTTGGACCGTTAAAACCATGCAAACCACTAGTTGGCCATATGTAAATCGAATTATTAGCGTTTTAACTGCGAAAAACCTATAATTAATAAAAAAAAGTTAACATTTTCACTCCCTGACATACCTGAAATCTTTCGTAAACCAAGTTATAACTTCACAGCCAGAGCTTCTTCCTCCAATTATTGGTGTGCGTCTTTATAGTTTTCAAAAAAAAAAAAAGAAATGGAGTCAGCTATAGTTCGTTCTAAGCCGCCTCCAAAAGGCCGCTGGAAATTTATAACGAGCTTTGATTTTCATGTCAGAAATACACACAGTGGTTTCCAACAAATGGAGGGACCTAGAGTTTATTCCCTATTCAAGCCGCCTCCGAAAAACCGATGGAAAGTTATGAGAATCTTTGATTTTCATGTCAGATGGTGGTCCGACCAACCGCACCCTGGCCTTCCGAACGACAGTATGCAATACTAAGTAGTTGGCCAACGCGTCCACCCAGTTTAAGCAGTAAAGCTACATATAATCGCCTGTTGGGAGACAATTTAAAAAAAATTAAAAAAAAAAAAAATAATAATAAAGGTGTGCGCTGCTAACACATGACATGTGATACCAGTAACTGAATTATAAATTACCAATTTTTATGGACCGATTCACAAATATACAGAATTAAAAAAAAAATATATCAAAAATTAAACAGTGGAACAGAGCGCAATCTAATAACAATTGAAGAAAAAAAAAAGATTTTGAATAACAATAAATATTTCTATTGCAAGACAATAATTAATTGTTTATAAAGCCCAGAGGCTCTTAATATACTGAATGGGCTGGCTTTACGGCTATATTTAGACCAGGTTATTAAAGGTAGAATATGGATAAGCTAGTGATGGTGTTATCATAGTTATATAGAATGCACAGCTTGGCAAGAAGTCTAAAATATCTAGAAGTAGCCTGAGATCAATTGCCTGTGTGTTGTGCAGATCCTCTTAGCTGCCAATTTAGGCTAGAGGAAAATGTCTAACAACTTTTTTTCGGTGGCTATACAATACAATTCTGACCAAAAGTGGACGTTAGCCAGATACATATTATATTTATATATTTGACGCTTTGTAACCGCTGAAGCGATTTTCCGCCGAACTCCTCCTTCAATTTGTGGTTTTGATGTCTTGATGATGTGATCCATATTAATAAAAAAAAAAATATACTGCTGTGTTATGGATACCGACACAGAATCTGTTTTTGTAACACCCCTAATATACATACATACACGTATATTTAAAACACTAAAATTATTTTTAAATTTTAATTTTATTACATTATATATAAACTAGTATAATGAATTATTTTCTCTTAATATTAGCGAAATACTAAAGATATATAGTAAAATTGAGAAAGTACCATGAGCAAGGGTATAGGAATACAAATGATAATAAATTGAAACAAAATACAAAAAAAAAAAAAAGAAAAAAAAAAAATAAGCACAGACACAAACAAATTGACTACGCGTATGTACATACGTATGTATGTATATATGTATTTATGAACATGATTAATTGTAATACCTTTTTTTTAGTAATAAAGTGTTAACTAAAAGCATACTAATATTATGTATATATAAATGAAAAAAAAAAATTATAATTAATTTTAAAAAATAAAAAATATATTTTAAAAAATAAAAAATATATTATAAAAAATACATATAAAACGTACGATGTACCTTAATGTCAGCTGTGCAAATTATAATAAATGAAATTAGTTATTTGTAATTGTAATGATAACAATATATGTATGTACGATTAAACTAACGCGCATGTATTGTAGTTGATTGTGTTAAATATACTCTTATATTATAATATAATATTATACATTACACACATACAAATAATCATAAAGCAGTCATTTAGAAACTGTGAATTTTTTGTCTTATTATACATTGAAATGCATACATACATATACATTTATTACATATACATACATTGAAATGCATGTATGTACATACATATATATACTTATGTATATTGCATACATATTATATAATTTTGTTCTACATCATGCTGAGTGTCGTATGAAAATGTCGCGAGAAATACAATACATACATACTTAATTATACATAGTATGTTTTTTTTTATGTCTGCGTTAGATGTAAACTATGAGCATCCTGTATCAGTTGGGATAACTTTTGTGAAAATGTTGGAATGTCCTGTTGAAAATAAAGTAAACAAAACAAAAAAAAAATAAATATGTTTAAAAACAACAATAATAATGGCTTTCAATAAAACAATGAAATGTTTACATACATACAATACACTTATGTACACGTATGTATGTACGCATGATGTATGTGCATATATGTATACATTACTCACAGTTGATAGGCAGATCACATCCAAATGTTTCGGATTAACTGGAAAACCAGCCGTTAGAAAACTCTCACGTAACTTCAAGTTATCAACTTGACCCATAGCGTACAAGACATTCGCTAATAAATCGAAATGCAGCGAACCCTCACCGGATAACAGTCGATTGATGAGTGCGCGTTGAAATGACGCTAGTAGGCTATCCTGAAATAGTGCACGCTGAAATAGACGCCAACGTTCGTTCACAGTCTGCATTGAGAGCAATACTTTTCGTACGAGGTTCGGATCATTGCCGGACACCAATACCTGTCCGTAAGCATTTAATATGGCCATAAAATGTTCGGGATGTAAATTATCACTGCTGGTATGCAATAGTGAGCCATTGTATTGCACATGTGGCTTATAGAAATACTGCCATTTATGGAGTAAAACACTGTGAAGTGGCGAAATTAAAGAAGAAGAAAAATAAAACAGATAAAAAAAATATTATATAACAAATAATATATGATATGTATGTATAATCTATGAGTAATGACTTCAATTTATCATCTTATTTTCGACTGGAGCAGTTTAACTAATCTTTTGTTGTTGTTGTTGCGAAACTTAAGTCTGGACACTGTAGCAGGTTAAACTTCTACCTATCCAGACTCAACCCCAACATACCCAAAGTATGTCCAGCATGTGAAGAATCTCGCCATGATACTAACCACCTCTTCACATGCCCTAACCTCACCCTCCGTCTGGTCCGATCCCATCGAAATAGCACGTTTCCCGTACCTGCCGTTAGATGATCTCGGTGTAATTTTTTTTTTTTTTTTTTGAACCCAGCGTTACCCACCTCCCGCTCAACCAACCGAGCGGCGCGCCTGAGGGAAATCGTTAAATCCAACAGACCGGTGGCCGAAAACCTGTAACAGTCCGGACTGCCCTGAACCCGAAACCGACCGCGGAAGGTCGCGTTTACACTTGCCTCTTACACTAAACAGCTACAGACTTGTTCATCAGCTGCCATAAAATTGCATGGGGTAAAAAAAAGGGAATTTATTTAATTATTTAAAGCACTTAGTAAGTAGATTTTGATACAGAAAAACGAGTCAGAGGAATCAATGCTGGGTAAATGTGTATTAAAATCGTTACGCAAAGATCTAAAAGGGTTGTGCATTTCAAAGTTTGTTCTGCACGAGCCCAATGAAAGGGGCCTAAAGTGTCTAGATGATCTTAACGGGATGGTAAAGTTAAGCTCGCTAATTAGGATAGCACCTCTTATCAATTTAGCTAAAAATAAAACTCCAAGCATCTTTTTGCGACTATGGAGTGTAGGAAGATTAATTAGCCGTAAACGACTTTCGTAAGAAGGCAGGTTCGTGTTCGCATTCCAGTATAAATTTTTTAAAGCGATTAATAGGATTAGATTGATTTAAGCCTGTACCTAAGCGGCGTTAACGTAGCCACTACAACAACAACAACAAATCTATCTTAGAATGTATAATACTTTCAATATAATCCAAGGTAATTCATGCCGTGAGGAATATGTAAGGTAGGTGACGTATACGCACGGTCACCTCAAATTTGATTCTATGTAGCATAGCATATGCACGTATTTAAGTACAAATATACTCACCAATCAAAAAGCGTATACACTACACTACTCAAATCAGTGCCATCCACTAAGCTATTGTCGTGTTGATGTACAAACGGTAGTACTTGTTCGATAGTGAAACTTAATATGGATGGCAACATAGTGGTCCAAGTATTGCCCGGCTGTTGTACGACTAACTGGAACATTTGTAAAATTTTCTCCAACACAGCCAATTGATTAAGACTAAGTTGCTCTCTAAAGGGGAAATCGCAAATATTTTTCAATACATTTAACGTAAATATGACATAAACACCAACCTGCTGCTAACAGTTATGTAGAGCGTGATCATGTCTTTGATGAATTGCGCACCGAATTGATTTAGTAAACTACGCAATATACTTAAACTAAATTCGCCAGCGGAAATGGAAATTGCATTATTGCTTATGCCGAAATTATTGAAAAGCATTAATGCTTTCGTAATGACGGGCTATTGGGAAATATGAAATACACAAAGTGTTGATTAATAATAAATAACAATTGAATTTGAATTAAAGCTGATTTTTACTGCTTTATTATTTGTGAAAGTAAGCAGTTAAACTGATTAATTAAAATAAAGCACGCAATTCATTCTACTCACCCTGAATGCAATTGCTAACATGTCTTTTGTTGTGTTGCAGGAGTCCTTAAAGTATTCAACGACTTCGCTAAAAATACTCAAGGTGGTTGGCATTATTGAGGAGATTTTGGAGATGGATGCTTGCGCATCTAATTCAAGAAAATTTTGTGATTGACATTTCACATATTCGCAGAGCTAAAAGCAGCGTAAAAAACAATTTATTAAAATGAGTAAAATAAAAGCATAAATTGAAAATTCTCTAAAGCATACATGATTACAACGACTTGTACAATCCTGCTGCTGTTCTTCAATAGTTTTCCATGGCAATGCTAAATAGCCGATAATGCTAATACAGATGTTTGTAATGGCTTGACGTGGTAAATACGTTAATTTTGGACCAGCTTGCATCAATTGTGTAACGAATAATGTTTCCAATAAACGTTTTGGTCTTATCACAGTCGAAATACAAAGCAGGAGTTGACCTACAATTTTATTTATAAAAAAAAAATATATATATATACATATAAACGTAAACTTGGTTCTATTCTACAACATACTTCCTGAAATTGCCACTATAGGTGCTACCGTTATATTGCCAGGCAGTAAAATCACGCTCAACGCATCGAAAAGGCTATGAATAACATCACATTTGAGATTAATCGACATTGGTAATATGCTTCGTAACGCCATTAGTATTTGAGCATATCTATTGAATAATAAAAAAAAAAACAATAATTAATAACAATACTCTACTTTTCATATATGTATGTATGTATGTATGTACGCATATACTTACAAGTAATCAAAATCAGTCTGGAACGTCGATTTATCTAGATTTAACGTAGCTACTTTATTGCTAGTAAAGAATTTGAGCAATGTTAGCAGATTTTCGGAGAGTAATTTCAATTGACTGGTCACTTCTGCACCAACTTCTGGTGAATTGGCATCCAAAAGGGGCGATAAACGCACCACAGCCTGGCATACCGTCGATAAATCACGCAGATGTTCATTGAATGTTTGACATTTCAGTTTTCTGCCCAAATCGTAGAGCTTACCATTGTCGAGATCATTTTCCAAGGATAATAGATAAACATGTGGTCGCGACCAATGTGCGGAAACTTGTGCAAAAACAGCATTAGGTCGAGATTCTCCTACAAGTGCTATGCATTCAATACATTGTGACAAGAATTGTTGCCATTCGGTTTGGGTCTGACAAAATTAAAACAAAAATACATGACATACATTAGTGAATGAAATTAATTTAATAATTTTAAATGGAAATTTAAAATAAATTAAGCACACAAGATACACCGTTTAAAAGAATTATCGCAATAAATTAATATGGCATTAATTGAAAATATCAAATTTGTGTCAAACTACTTAAAATCATGCATTTAACTTCATTTATAGGTTAATAAACGATAAATTGGTTAATTTTCAAAAAGTTTTTTTTTTTTTTTTTTTTAATATGAAAACGTCTTTTCTACGTACATTCTCTTCAATCAGCTCGTTATCTAACAGTTCCAGCTCCGATTTATTGAACTCAAATAATATACGACGCATTATTTCCACCACTAGTTGATACAGTACATCATTGTAGCGATTCTGTTTAGAGCTCAAAGTAAGACCTTTTATAATTGGCGACCAAATTTCCAGCTTTTCCATAAAGTCTAGTGCACCATTTTCTAGTATATACAAATAAAATAAAAATTTATTAAAAAATTATTCAAGAAAACAACGTAATATTACTTACTTGTAATTGTAAAACAATACAGCGATTTAAGAAATGATTCTAATAACTCATTTTGCTGCACCATTTTCGACCAATAACGGTCTGTATATAAACGTAGAAGTTCCCTAAATTTATCAGTGTATATTTCGCTTTGATGTTTTGTGCTGTTATGTTGTTCCAAAAGCCCATTTACGCCCGTCATGACAGTTAAAGCGTGAGGCAGTGGCTTTTGGAGATACATCAGCTCATTTAGTACAGATAGGGCTGCCAAGGGGATATCTGGTTGTGTGGCACGCCATTGTGCCAAGTCTAAAATACTCATAAGAAAATATTCTGAAATCAATTCAGTACGTGTCCATGAAACGAGATGCTGTATACACGTAAGTAACTCCAATACTGAGGAACTGTATAAATAACATACATATAAATGGTTATGATAATTCAAACATGGTTGGTATTATACTTTACCTGAGTTGATTGTCATTTGGCAGCGACGTGGTTAGGGCGTAGTCCACTAGTGTATTGGATAAAGAATGGATGTCTTTTTCGTTGATATGGTAAACCGTGATTATTAAATATTTAGTGAGTAAGTCCAGAATTTCGGGTATACACATGGATATGCTACATGGAACAAAAAAGTTAGCAACATACAGCGAACACATGGACTTGTTATAATGGAGATTAAAATTTGATTTAGTATTTTTCACAATTTTTCGATTTTAAGCAATTCAATATGTGATTTTTTGAGATCTTGACATGTTATATTAAGGTAAAAAACGATACACTGAGACGACTAACGACAAAAAGCCACAATGAAAAATTATTTTAGTTCAGCGATCTGCTTACCAAGAATGGAAATAACTTTGACGTTCCGTTGTAACGCAGTCACGATTGCTTAACACTTCCTCTGAAGTGATGCGCAATAAGGTAATACCCAATACAAATTTTTCCGAACGAACTAATTCTAAACAATGGACAATGTAGTTGGGATGATCGTCAGGAAACTCACGCTTTCCAATGAGTGCAATCAATTGAGCGAATGTATCACGTTGACGTCGCGGCACATTTGCTACTGATAAATTTGCATAGGTGTTCCATAAAGTTTCGCGCAGCAAAGTTTTTTCGTTTGCAGTCAAATGTGTCCAACGACGTGATATCCAATGCTCTAGAGTAGATGTACTGAAGAACCAAAGATACGGATTAGTGTCAATTGAAGCAGCAACCTGCAGGCTTATTTGCCAAGCACTTGTTTGTCCTCTAAAAGCGATTAGTTCTGTTTCTATTTCACGTTTACGTATATTAGGCGTGGCGGGTTGATGAAACTCTTGAAGTAGCGCCTCTACCATAGCCAGCGAGGAAGACTAAAAATATATGTATATATTTTTTAGTGAAAACACAATTCAAATAGAGCACAATATTTATACATATACTATATACAGCTGTGACCGACATTCGGTTGAAATATTAATGCGGATGAAAGGATTGGCCTACTGATAACGCTCTTACTCACCATTTTTTGTTATGTCGCGATGGCAGTCAGTCACAATTTTTAGACGTTTTCAAGTTGTGCAGGTATAAGATTCTTTTTTATTCTTATGTTAAAACAGTCTTTTAATTCAAGGTGTCCATAACACTCTTTCCGTTGTTATTTTGCCGTAAAAAAGTACTTATCGTTCAGCGTAAATGATAGAAACAAGGAGATCGACGAAATATGAAAAGGTCGTTTTGACATTTTCTACCTGCCTTAAGCGCAGATACACGCATAGTTAAGTCTCCAAATAATGGGCTGCCTTGCCATCAAACTCAAGTTTGTGCACGTTCAATTCTAAGAGTACGTTCTTAAGTGGCAAATAGAGAGACTGCAATTATACAAATATTTATAAAATATCTCTCTACGATATGTAATAAATCGATTAGAAAGAGAAATACTTCCTAAAAGTTATTTAAAATTTAAAATTTATTATATACATATATATTTTTGTTTTTAAATTTAGTCAAAGTCTTAATTCTTAAGTCTTGCTGGCCCTGTTTTAATAATAACGGTACAGCTGATTACTAGCGGTGCCACATAATTATCTAATAAATAGAAAAATTTTCTGTTAGAGGGCAAGTCTCTGTTTTTCGAGACACAGTCAGATATCGAGAAGAAAAATGTGTAAAATCAGAAAAATATAAATAAACCGAAAATTTAAAATAACTTATCATGGAAGGTGAAAAAATTTTAATGGCTGCAGGTGTAACTGTAGCAGCAGTTGTCGGTGCATTTGTCTTTTGGGGCCCTTCGGGTAATAGTGCATTAACTACAAAATGAAACTGTTTTTTTTTATCTTTGTCGTCTTATTTTAAAACATTGTCTGAAAACTAATTATAGGTTCATCACGTTTGCGTCAACGCAGAGGTCAAATTGCCGGACTGCATAATTTCGGGCAAACATGCTTCTTAAATACATTATTGCAGGCGCTTGCTGCCTGTCCACAATTTATAGCTTGGCTCCAGTTATATAATAATGCTAATTCGGATCGAAAGAGTTTGATATCATCTCTTTTGAGTACGCTTGAAGTGGTTAATGGCACGCACTCTACCTTGCGTGGCGATCCATACTCTCCTGGTGCAGTTATGCGAGCACTGCACGCACTTGGTTGGGTTATACCACAGGAAGAACATGATGCTCATGAATTATTTCACGTTATCCTAGCTAGTCTGGAAGAGGAGGCTTTGAGACCTAAAAAAGTTGGTTGCCTTTCAGATGCTTTACCGATTGTGGCTTCCGGTGCCCAAGGAGATCAGCCCGACAGACCATCAAGTGCAATGTTAACTGATTTTCTAAATACAGAATATGATGAATCCACTAGTTTGACACGCTTGGTACGTTCTGAAGCACATACACCTGACTCACCATCATCAGTTTGCGAACGTGAAATGTGCGCCGGAGAAGGTGGTGCTACCAGCACATCACCAATTGAAGTGATGGATTTTGATCCACTGGCATCGCCGGTACTAGGTGGGCAACGCTCCAGTCGCTCCCGCACAGCACAAATACCACGCAATCCGTGGTCGGAAAATCTGAACAAACGAGTTTCCTCTTCTTGTCGTTCATTAGAGCGTCTTAGCCGTGGTCCAGGAAGAGTATCTGTGAGTGCATTAGTGACATCTCAAATTCTTTTACGATTTATTTATTATTATTGCATTGATTTTTTTTTTTTTTTAGATTTGGTCTGATCAAATGCCAGCACAAGTAGCTATACCTTTCCAAGGTGCTATGGGCACACAAATCGTTTGCAATGGCTGCAATTTCAAAGTAAGTACCCATATATATACATTTACATATATATGGCATAATTAGAATATCTTTAATAATTTTTTTTTTTTTTTTTCTTTCATCGTTCGTAGTCCACCGTTCGTTACGATAAATTTGACAGCATTACACTAAATTTACCACCTCAACGTCGTTCTGGACTTAGTTTGGGACATTTGCTCAGTGAATATATAACATCTGAAGAACTGACCGATGTTAAGTGTGAATCCTGCAATGAAACCACCAGCCATACAAAATCTCTGACATTCGCTAAATTACCTGGTTGTCTTTGTATACATATTGCACGCACAGTTTGGCTGCAAACTGGTCAAATATGCAAACGCCAAGATTATGTGCATTTTCCTGAAAGTTTGTCAATGGCACCGTACAGTTTTGTGCAACCACATTTGAATAGTCAAGTGAGTAAGACAAGTTCTAGATGTTTATTAATGCTATTTGTATATATGTATAAGACATTTTAATTTATTAAAATTTTTCTTTTTTAATTTTATTTTTTTATTTTAATTTAATTTAATATTTTTGTTTTAATTTAATTTTTTTTTATTTAGGCTGGCACCCCATGGGGATCTACCTTGTCTTTATTCTCGTCTAGCTTACCATTGAATAGTTTGGGTGGCCATGAGTCATATGGCAGTACATTCGGTGCCATGTTTCCCAAAAATCTCTACAGGCTTTTAGCTGTTGTTGTTCACTCGGGTGAGGCAAGTAGTGGTCATTTCGTAACCTATCGACGCGGCGCCTTAAGAAATGCCCACCGGTAAGTAGTATTTAAAAATAAGATCTACATATAAAATAAATATGTTATAAATATGTGATATATACTAGTTTATTCAATAATAAAAATATATAAATATACTATATATCCATATATGTTAATATGAAGTACAACTATATATATAATATAATAAAGACAGATATGCCTAACTCTAGATAATTTTTTTCTAAATCGTTTCAGTTGGTTCTACACTTCAGATACTGTTGTGCGCGAGGTCTCAATCGAGGAAGTGCTTAGCGTACCGGCATATTTACTCTTTTACGATCGTGGTCCACAGCGACGTTGAGGGGTAATTCTGGTTGACTGAAGACAGAATAATTTTGATACAATTAATGTGAAAGATCTATTTTTTAAGTTAATTATTGGTTTATGTTGCTTTGAAACTGCTGCAAATTTATTGCTTATTCAGTTAATCCATTTGGAATGGATGTACGCCTGCTGGCGTTGGTACAAAACGCCATTCTTTTGTAGGAATTTGCGGATCTCTGCAAAATATATATATGTGAATTTGGCATATACGCTACGTTCACATCACGGCATTTTTATATATTATATTTTATATTTAATTAATGTCTAAGTGTTATGTAAAACATGTTCCCAGCTCAATCATTGCATGTGCCATTTTGACTAGTCGGAATTTTCATGGCTTGTGCTCACATTCATAATGATAGTTTATTAAATTATGTTTTAAATATAAAAATGATGGAATTACAAGGCATTTCTAAAAGTAAATATGAATATGCGTTTAGAGACTGTGAATTACAATGAATGAGTTACTTTAATTTTTAAATATAACTTCATAGAAAATTAGTTTTTAAGAAAGTTTGTTAATTAAAATACTTTGTTTGATAATTGCTCCAAATATATGAATAAGTTTTTATTGTAAGTATTTATAGCATTTCCTAGTTTTATACAAATGTATTTTTTTTTGGCATTCATACAAATATACGCGATTTACTAAACAAAAAAAAGCACACATCTATTATATTTAATGTTGTTTCAATGTCCGCATACATATACATATACATATAGGCACATACACTTTGTTTATAATAAGTAAGGGCAGTAGTTTATTCCAAAATATTGATCTACAATAAAGCATACGATGAAAAAAGAAGAGAAAATACAAATAAAACAATAAAGCATTCAATATAGACTACATCAGTACATTACTTAGTAGGAACATAATCTCTTACAAAGTTAATAAATAAGATTCTTACTATACAACTAAAATTTAGCCTTTTATTGTGGTTCGAATTAAATTTTCTTAACGCCCTGAATGATATGCACATAGCTACCATAATCTGTAGCATATAAATTGGTGGATATGCCAGTCATTTGCTGTGATTTAGGCCCAAAACCTTGTTGATTGCGCGTTGGTGCTCGAATGGGCAACCATGCGCTAACAGGAGTTTGATTTGCCACCATAATGCTGTGTACGGCTAGGTTAAGCGCTGTAACTGCTAATGCATCCTCACGGTACTCAGAGATAATGTTATCAGCTATACTTAAGGCATCTCCTGCCTCAACTATATGTTCGATATCTTTGAAATGAGGCAAATAATTGGCGTGTATAAGATTAATAAATCGTTTTGGCTCTGAGGTAAAGCTATCGGTTATATCTTCTGGCTTATGTATAAAACTACCATTGGGTAGATCTAGTTGAAATAAAAATCAAATTAGTTATTAGATCGTTTAATACTGTCAACAGTTTATTACGTTTGGGATTGAATACTCTCCCCAAGGCATGCATCATTGTAACCGACTCATCCCGTCGAATTGTTTTCAATGTAGACATTTTCTTTTTAGATTTTCCTTTAACTTCACCAGATTCCAAGCGTTCAATAGGCAAAGTTCCTGCTCCTATGTACAAATATTGAATAAATAACTTTAAATAAATTAATCACCCTCTATTCACCTTTTATTGACGCAAAGTGCAAATTTATTATCGCATTGCGAACGTCACCTTGTGCTGCAATTATTATAGAATCAATAATAGTTTGTGACGGTACACAGTAAGTATCAGCTAACTGTGGTGTCTTCATGAGCGTACAAAATCGTTTCATTGCTTTTTGCATCAGCGTCACGGCAATGGGATTAAAACTAATGTGATTAATGTGGTATTTATTTTTAACCTGCTCGGTGAACAAATTATAACTAACATTTAGCGAGCGCGTTTTTGAATCTGTCACAATAAACAAAAGTGGTGATTTTCCATACTTAGAATATTCTCTAAAATGGAAAACGTTTTTTATGACAAACATTAAATTAAAGTAAATATTTACTTACTCCAGTATATTTTCAAATGTATCAGTATTTGATAGTATGATGTTTGGAAAATCCTCTACAATGACCAAACGTTTCTCCCTGCCGAACAGTGATTTATAACGTGACGATCGGAATAAGAACGACTTAAATAAATCAAGTTGAGAACCATTATAGCTGCTGGTTTGGTCTCCCAAAGTGTTAATGAAATCACGATCCACCGGATTAATCCATTCTTGCCACTCATATTTCATTGATCGCGTTAAGACACGTGCTGCTGCAGTTTTTCCCGCACCTGACGGCCCAGTTAGTAGGCAAATTTGTGCCGGATGTTGCTTATGCACCGCCTCACAATGCAACAGCCAGTTTTGTAATTCTGCCAATTTTTTTGGATGTACAGCGACATCATCACTCATGCTAGGCTCAAATATATCAATCCAATTGGGGGTATTTTTTAAAGATTTTGACACAGTTTTTGTTGTTTGTTGTTTTTCATTATTTCCAATAATTTTTGCTTCACCGGTAAGATCATTACTTGGCACTGTTTCTGCATCATTGTCAACGACAACCGTCTCGGCACAACTATCAGACTTGGTGCAGTTGGCAAAAGCCGAATTATTCCAAGCTCGCTAAATCAATTAAGCAATTGAAATATTAATTGGATGATACAAGGAAAATTGTATTACTTTACGTGTAGTCATTACATCCGTTTCTTCATTCCTATATATAATTTCTATTAAAAATGAATCAAAACAATATTGGTGAGCTTCTAATTTGAATCAATTCAAAACCTAGAAATGTTTATAATTAGTCGATAACTGAATTAGTAAAGGCAAATTTGCATCGATACTAAATCGATCAGAGAACTAGATTAAGGTGATCTGAAAATACAACATTACGTCTAAGGAACCATTATTACAATTCCTACACCATTCTAACTCTCAATTATTCTCTGATAATATACCCTCAGTAATACTCAAACTATAAGTTCAGTTTATTAGATTATCTCTTCCTTTTTCAGTGAGTATTAGGTTGTTGTTGGTGGCGTACTTGTTGAACCCCTTAAGAGCAAACCAAGACAGTCGAAGTAGTCAAGAACATCTAACGGGGAACCAGGAAAATGACTGTTTATACGGTTTCAGACAAGAGGGAAAACGATGTTAGATGAGTAGTATGTAGGAATATTACTCGGCTCTTTGGATCTCTAGGTCTACTATCTTTCTCAAGCCAGACACTACACATTGGAAGAATGGTGCGGCCCTTCACACCGATGTTCGCAGAAGGAGAAGAGGATTTCACTCCGTTGGAAGCATTTGGTTGAGAAGGACTTGGCTGCTGAGCTGCTAGAAAAGAAAGAACTACCAGTGCCAATAAGAATGAAGAAGAAGAAGCTGATTCCAAAGGCTTTTCTTTAATCCGATTTCATTTGGGATAGGAATTGGATGTAAGTCGTAGTTTACGACTTGCATGACTTATTACATGCATGTCTTATCTTGAACATCTTGAACCACTGGGCGTCTAGCTGGTAAAAGTGGTAGCTGGGGATATCTTGGGCTACAGAATTAAACATAAATCAATAACAATCAAGAAGACTTTTTTAAAAGGTATAAAGATATTCGAAATGGTTTCTTCTTTCAGGATTCTATTATTAATGTTGATCGTCGAGTTGGCCTTCTTATTGAAAAACCAATAAGAAATATAAAAAAATTCTAAAATGTGTTTTCGAGATTTTACCCTACAGCAACTGAACAGCACCAGTGGTCAAAATAGCCGATTGGTTAGCAGGTCCTTGACCTGAACAATTACCCATAAGAAATGAAGTAAAATTTTCTAATAACTGTCGACTCTCCTAAAAGTCTTTCAACAATCCGGAGGCAATTTTGAATCAACTGGAAGTTCTCCATGTGTAGGAAAAACATAGAGACGCTCACAAATGGAGAAGGAGCTTGACCGAAAATCGCTTAATCGAATATTAATAATATAAATTACAAAATCGAAGTAATTTGAAATGGTGTAGACTTTTTATATAAATTGAACATCAATTGGGAATGTAGACCTTATGTAGAGTAGTTTTGAAAAAGCCTCAAATCAAAAATATGGCAACATTTCGTATGAGTATATCGGGAGTCTGCTCTGTGAAAATTATTTCGATAGCTTAACAAAAGCTGCTTTAAAACTCAAATAAAACTATTTTCCGGTTCTTAAATTGTTCTTAAAATCGGAACCATGTGTTTTTTCAACATACTAATATGAAGATTATTAAAAAATGTGTGTTTTTAGCCAGTTATTGGCAAATGAAAATTCTAAGTTTCCCGTAGTTCGCGTTTACTTTTCTGTGTAGTCGTTCTTTAAATTTTCTGTCTATGCGTGTGGTGGGTGTGAGCAGGATAGCAAAAATGTGCGTGCGTGCGTGCGTAAAAAGTGCCAAAGTGGAATCGAAATACACAAAATGGATGAATAATAAAATTTGGAAAATAACCACAAAACAGTTATTAAGAAAATAATTTAAAATCATTAGAAATATGTTTTATTGTCGCTCCTCAGTTCTACAAAATTTTAAAAGCTTTCCATTGCAACCTCCTTTGTAATTTTTAAACTTTGTTTTATCAAGTAGTTTGCTAGGTCGTTTCATTCTTAAATACATACAAGCGGATAGCAGATAATGCAAAATGTAGGAATGTGAATAGAAAATTGCAAAAATAAAATAGCGTTGAGATGACTTCAAAATAAATCTGCCATCATATAAAGTTAATCGTTATTTATAGTAAAGTTGGTTACATTTTGTGTAAAAACTAAAATAAGCCAATAAATAAGTAAAAGCTACAATTCGCGTTGTCCATACTTCGCTGAAAGTATATCCAATTGAGACTATATATGTAAATAACTGAAATAAGAAAGATATTTTGTTCTTTTTTATTTCCAACATCTTGCCATTTTTTAGTTTCAAATATGCTTGTTTTCGAATTGGATTAAATTCATAAATATTTCTTGTCGCAAAGATGGCAACCTTTTTAGTCTGCACTAGTCGCATTTTCCAAATCTGTACTTTCCACCGGTTTCGCTGTTTTTGTCTATGCACTATTTCTCCAATGCATGTTGTGAATTAAAGTATACGAAAAGGACAAATAGTGCAACTACAGAATAAATTTGCAAACGTGTGAATTGAATTCATCTAGAAGCGTAAATGAGACAGGAGGCATATTAGAAAGGGATGTCCTAGGAACACGAATATGTAAAAAAGTGAATATGTGATGATGGAAAAGATGAGAGAATGTTAACAAAGATGAACCAAGTGCAAAGAAAAGGAAACCAAAAACCAACAAGAAAGACCAAAGAAGAGACAATGAAACGAATGAACCTCTGAGTTTTGTATGTATTTTCTTACATGTTTGAACAAATGTTTTCTAAAGTGATTTATTAATTATTAATTGAATTAAATATATTTTTTTAGTATTACGGTATTATTGAAAGTATTAAACATACAATTTTCGATCCAATGGTAAAAATTAATAAGAAGTTATGAGAAGAATCAAACCCAAAGTCAATAAACTAAACGAAGTAACAGAACATTTTGACAATTTGGTCACAAGCGATTCGAGGAGGCTATTCGTCGTGTTCGGCCCAAATGAGTGCGGAAAGTGTAGGAAGGTGCGCGGTGGTGTAGAGCAGAACAAGGCAGAGAAAAGCAAATAAATGAAGGCACATCAAATATGTGAATAAGTGTATGGAAGTGAAAAGTGAAAAATTTGCACAATAAAATTTCTTAAAAAATCAATAAAAATACGAGAAGCATTAAGTCAAGTTAAAAAATTTGTGAAAATAAAATTTTTGCATATACGTCTATAAAATAGTCGAATCACGAAAGCGCACTTAAATCAACGCTAAAAGTGGAAAATAATCAAGAGCTTTTGGTGTCATCGATTTTGCCAACCAAAGTATTTCGATTAGATATTCAAGATCTAATACCAATATATGGTCCAATAAAATTGTGCGTTGGACTCGCCACACACAATGCATTTGGATAGTGTACGCAAACGGTCGAAGATCCATTGAATCGGGTCCTTAGCACCATAACACAATCCACGGCTTTAGTAGTGTTGGCGTAGGCGGGTACTGCGCTGAAACCTCAAATATAGCACAATATGGACCCGCACGAAATAAAACCTCCAGGGCCGGGAATAACAAATAGCACAATTAATGCAGGGTCAACTGGTCAACATGGGCAACAGCATCAATTAGGAGGTAGTGGAGAACAACTAAATCTACCACCTCCTTCGCCTCAAGCTATTGGTACTGCTGGAATCAATGGTGCTACGGGGTCATTAACTACTTCAATACCCTCGGCAAGCAGTTCTGTTAGTGGTTGCAATAGTAATGCTAACATCCTTTATAACAATGCTAATTCTTCTCATCAGCAGCGTCCATCAAATAATACTAACAACGATGGTGACTCAGATACAGAATCCTTAGCATCCATGTCAGCAAAGGCTAAAGCTGCAGCGGCAGCTGAACAAAACCATACGGCTTCAGCAACTAATGGGCACAATTGTGGCACAAGCACTACGGTTAATAACCTTAATGTGAATGCCAAACAGCAGAGGCAACAAAAAAGGCGGCGTGAACGAGCACAAAGATTGCAAGCAGAACGAGAAAATCGGTTTGCAAATTCTGTAAATAATGTCCCAAATAGCGGTCTATTGTATCACGCCAGTAGCGCTGGTAGCATGGGCGAGGACAGCAATAACTCAAATGGGAACTTTACCAGCAGCAGTAACGGCAGCAATAATGTCATGCCTCCTACTGATAGCATTGCGTCGTTACTACTTAATCCTCCACACTCACCGGAATGCAATTCGGGATTGATGGCCACACCAAGCGATAGCGAAGGTGAATCATTAGACGAAGATTTACTTTCTACTTCGTCCTCATCCACTCTACTATTGCCCCGTGATAAGCCACCACCGCGACCGCCACCTCCGGTGCGTAGAAAATTGCCACGATCACCTGTGTTGGAGGAAGAAATTATTGACGGGTTTGCAATACTAGAGTTCAAATCATATGAAGATCTCGAGGTAAATATTATATATTTAATATACAAGTTTAAAATTTGTTTATAATATGAAAATTTCTATAATTATAGTTTGCTATTAAATTGGGTCAAAAACGGAAAGAAAAAAGGTTATCAGCGTTAGAAGAGTTAACTTGCACATATAGCATTGAGGAAACCAAAATGCCAAAGATTATTGATACGGGTCAGCCACATCCGATTCGCGGAAGCAGTGCTCTTAACCTGCAAATAAATAATATAAAAGATAACAGTAATAATATACGATTGTTGAGCAGTAATAGCAACAATATTAACTGTCATCCAGCACAAACTGTCACATCTTCTACGAATGTAACAGTACAAGATACTCCTATGGATGCTATTACGCCGCCATGGAAAAGCCAATATCAAAATTCCAATAATAATAACAATGTTGGAAGTCTCATAACAAATAGTAATCAAAACATTAATAATTGTAGTAGTGTAAGTGGCAACATTATTAACAACACATCAAATAACACCGCTGCTTCGGCAACCATGATAATAAACCATAATGGAAATAATAGCAACAATAGTAATAACAATAGTGATGGAGCTGGAAGCAGCAGTAGTAGTAGTAGCAGCGGAATCGCTGAAACAACTTCCAGTAATATTAACAATACTGATGAGGATGCTGTTATGACCTTAGTCGATGCTGCAGATGATTGTCGGAGCGTTTTGACTGCCATGGATAGCGGGGCGTCGTGTGGTAGTTCTACAATGACAGCGACAGTAAACAGCAAAATCGACGTGGCTTCCACACCGAAAGACAATGCTGCTTCAAACTCTGTAAAAAGCACCGCCTCTACGGATACAACTACTACCAGTGCAGTAACAGTGCCCAGCTGTACTATGTCAGTAGCGCCTCAAATATCACCAGCCGCTGTAAATTCATCTCCCGTGTTATCAGAAAAAGGTAGCATTAGCAGTGGATTAGGGATTAATGCGCTACAAGGGAATCAAGCTCAAGCAGGAATGACGCCAGTACAAATGAGCGATGGTTACCGCAATTCAATGCTCTTAGAAGGTGTTAAAATTGGTTCAAGCTCAGCAAATACAAATAAAAGATCTCTTGACGTAGCCTTCGGCACAAGTAGCGGAACAAGTTCCAAATCTTCAAATCATTTCATTAGTATGGCAACCAATGTAAGTAACCGTTATTATATTTTGCATATTTTTTGTATGTCATATTTTATTTAATATGCTTTTGTGTTAAACTTCATCAGGCACCGAATCTTACGCAATTGGGCAATAGTAACAACAACAACAACAGTAGCGGTGAAATGACAACCGATATGCGAGGTTTGGGATCGACGACAGCGTCTGCGTCTGCAACGGCGGCGGTAGCGACGGTTTCATCTGCCGCACAGCAGCCAGCGCCGAAAATGGTACAATCTACGCCAACTAAAGATGAGATGTTTGATCGCATACGCGACGTAAGTATTGTCATTATTTTAAGAAATTAATGATCTTATCTAGAAACCAACGAGCAGTAGTTGCTTCGACATGGTAGTCAATGGTAAAATTAAATGTTTTATTTTAGGCATTTACAAAATTTTCCAATCGGATTTTGTATTGCTGGATGTGTGGAGCATTCAGTTTTTTTTTTTATTTTAATATGATTTCTACTTGAAAATCTACTGAATTTTTGATGTAAAAATAAATTAACTAAATTAACAGTAACTAAGTGTCATATACATATGTATATTCAATAGCCGCTTAAGTAATTTTCGGCCGATAAATGACTTCTAGCCAATTAAATAGAAAAAAATCCAAAAGTTCAATCCTGCTTCCTGCCATCTGAGGATTTATATATATGTAATTTTCGTTTTATGTTGACTAAATTGATTTTCGGTCGGGTATTTTGTGGCATTAGTCTTGTTGTTGTTGTAACAGTTTAATTTTTTCTAAGGGTATCGGTATAAATGATTGGGCCTACGAGCTTATTGCTCAAAAATTAGAAAAGTTTTTTGAATTTATCACACAATGACATCCTTTGAAAAAAAAAATAATTATGGGTTCAATATATTTATTTGTAGCCTCAATTTTGTCATATTGTTCCGACTACCATACAAAATTATAGAAAACTAATTTTTCTACTTCCGGTAGCCCCTTGGTAGGCAGGGAATTTCAAGTCCTCTGACATGAAAGAAAGGCTCCTCATAAAAATCCTTCAGCTGTCCAGAGACGGCTTATAATAAACTATAGGTCTTTACTTACTAGAAAAACATTAAGACGCACACGACAAATTTGAGGAGTGCGCCAATTATATAATTAGTTAAATTATTAGACATACTTTCTAAATGGGCATTCGAATTTTCGTTGTTCCAATCACATATCTCTCTATATAAGGATAATAATTAACCATTGCCGATTTTAAACTTTTATTTTTTTAAATTTATTAGTTTAATTTAATTTTTTTCTTTGTTTTATAACGAAGTGGTTTTATTGGACATTATTTTAGTTATGTATATAATGTATATAGTTATGTATATCAGTTAGTGGTCTACAAATATAGGTTGAAATCGGACAACACATCTGTCAAAATAGCTTTTCAGCATTAAAAAAAATCGAGTTAAATATTACTTGTTAATTTTGATTCTCACTCAATTGGTATTGTATTTAAAACAGTTTACACTAATCTCAAATATAATCGTTGGTATTTGTTTTCTATTTTATTTGTTAGAAATCTTGAATTTTGTTATGAAATGTCCATTATATTTTCCAGGCGGGCGTCACATGCAAAAGTATTGGAATGGGGCTTAATATCGTAAGTATTTACATGAGTGAAATCAATAAGCAATTTACTTATATTTGTATTTTTGTATTACAGTGTGATAACGATGAAAACAAGGTGAGTGGAAATTACCTTCTATGTAATTATTATTTATAGGATTTTTTTTAAAGCAAGGTAAAATATTTTAAGTTATTACTGTATGGTAAGATTAGGGTGGGCTAATATTGTTGAAATGCATATTGAATGAATGTCTATATATTTAAATGGAATGCAATAATGGTTTGAGAATTTTAAAAAATGTCAAAATTTATATGAAGAAATGTTGACAGTTTGGATCATCAAAAAATCTTGCATATTTAATAATTAAAAAAGAAAAAATAACAATAATTTAATGATAGGTAACATGAGTCTATATTTTAATACCTAATATGCAGGTTTTATTATTAAATAACTGATCTAATATTTATTTGTCTGTTATTTAAACCTTAAACTCTTCAAAAACAATACTTTTTTTTACCAAATAAGCAAATACACACATATAAAGTCTAGTTTCTGTAGAGTTGCCCACTTTAAAAAAAAAAAAAAAAAATTCCAATATTTGATACCAGTCCTTGAACAATAATATTTGCCACATTTCTGAAAGATATTTTTTTTTAATAATGTCACCATGCATAGATGAGCGCCTTCTTATTTGATACCTTGAATAGTTTGTTGATGTTGTAGCGGTTCGCTAACCCCGCTTAGACACAGGTTTGATTGTTGTTGTTGTTGTTGTTGTTGTTGTTGCAACCGCAAAAATATTCCCCAATGTACTTTTTGGGGAATGTTGCGGGAGTGACAGTCCTTGGCCGGATAAAAATCCGGGTCGTTCCGGTATAAAGACCCGACTGTGACGGGAACTATTGGATTTTAGTCGCCTCTTACGACAGGCATGCCTTACCGCGGGTAAATTCTTGAGCCCCTAACCCGCAGGGGTTGCACAGGTTTGAATAATCTAAGTCGCCGAGGTCATCTAATGGAAGGTCCAGGTTAGGTCTGCTCGTTGTTGGCTTTATGAGATTTGTAGCTAATCTATTGCTGTTGTTGTTGTTGTTGCAACCTCAAAATTATGTTCCTAAGTACTTTTTTGGGGAGCGTTGCGGGGATGACAGTACATGGTCGGATAATAATCCGACTCGTTCCGGTATAAAGATCCGACTGTCACATATTTTATTCGCTTCTGATGACAGGCGTGCCACCGGTAAATTCTTGAACTCCAAACCCGCAGCGGTCAGTCGGTTGTATATACAATAGTTGGTACGCAAACTTACCTCATAATCATGCCATATTCTGAAAGATCATGTTTCTTACCATACTTCCTGTTAGGCTTAAAATAAAATTTTTTGATGTCGAGTTCGAGATGAGTGTTATGACAGCCTAGAATTAGGGTATATTTAAAAAAATCAAAGGCAAAATTCCTCAAACTACTAAATTCTAAAAACTACATTAGTATTATTATTAACAAATACCATCTGCCATTTCCAATCGGCAAATATAATATCTACATGTATTGTACATATATTATTTATGATCGGCGCTTTGTAACCGCTGAAGCGATTTTCGGCCGTTGGATCTACGGTTTATTCTTCTCTTCATTTAAGGAATTGTCGATCTGTTTCCATCTTTCTCGATAAAAGTGTATCCGTTCTTAAACTCAGCTAATTATATCAATTAAACGCTTAATTCGAAACCGAAAACCGATTCAGCGGTTAGAGAACTCCAATTATTCATATATAAATAAAAAAAAAGATTAGTTTAAAACACTTTCGTAAAAATATCCTTTGTCTTCTTGAAATTCAATGATTATTTCATTAAAAATTGATATGAGCACGAAGTAAGGGCAACAAGTTGCGCTCACTTTCACTTATTTTCACCCTCATGGGAGCAATTTCATTAAGACTTTAGACTTATTTAGTTCGGTTTTGTATAAAGACGGGAACTCTGGTCTTCCAAATAGTAGTACGCAATGCTAACCACTCGGTTACACAACCTTTCCTGGTATGGTGGTCAAATATAAAGTTTTGCTGATGAAAGACTTTCCGGCGACTTGCTCTTGTCTGTGCCAAATTGTCAGCTTTTCCATTATAGAGAATGTTTCTTAGGCCAGGGAACCAGAAAGTGGAGTTATCTCGTTGTTCTTCCTAGAACATTGTGTAGTTTATTAACAACATAGCTTTTTTAATGTCCTACGGGTTTTCCCATGCCTAGTACTTCCAATTGGAAATTCCTAGCTGAGTTAGATTCGTCTGCGGAGTATATCCCGAGGGAGGGGTGATTTTTTTTTTTACCTTTCCTGTTGATTGGTATTCTCACCTGTTGTTGTTGTTGTTGTTGTTTTAGCGGCAAGTCTAGTTCCGCTTAGGAGCAGGCAAGATTAGTCTAAATCATCGATGTCATCTAACGAACGGTCCGGGAAACAAACTGTTTAGACTGGTTCGGACCAACGGGAGCGGGGATTAGATGTGTTGGTTTTAATGAACATGCAAAGCGGTTGTTCGTATTGTGCGGGAACTCATTGCATACAGGACATACGTTGGGTATCCAGATCTTAATTGGGGCAGATCGAGCTCTTCGTTTGCCCCAAACTAGAAGAGAATTCAAGAAGATGTTACTAAACTCTCGGTGAATGGCGTTTAAAGCCTGTCAGTAAGCCGTGCGGTTCCTTTACGTGGTGATGAATCCCTATAGTCGAGCACTGGTGGGTCGGCTTCTGTAAGTGTCTGTTGGGGTGCTCCCTACGGTATGCTCGTTAAGTCGTAGCATAGATGTTTCGCTGTGCTGGTGTGATGCTCTGGGCGACATTAGGAAGTTTCCGGTCACGGTCTTAAAGACTTTTGCGTCTCGCTAGTCCAAGGTGTCCAGTTTTGAGCAGCATAGTTTACGGCCTGACGGCCGATCGACTTGATGTGGCCAGCCATTTTTTTTTTTTTTTGTCTTTTTCCCATGTGCTGCATGCTAAGGTTTTGAGAATTTTGTCGTATGCGGAGTGAAGGAGTGCGACTTCCCGTAACTGCAGGTTGTTTATAGTCGAAATCGACTTTCAAGTTCGGGGCAGTACTCCTTCTTTCAGCTGGTGAAGAGCTTAGCCTAGAATTTCTCAGGTTGTAATTGTAATTGTCTTGCCGTGAAGGAGTTGGAAAGGTCGTCGAGTTAACAGTTCACTTTCGAACATATGGAAATCATCAATATTCTGATCACACGTTAGAGGCAGTCAGCGGCATATGAGAGCATTGAAATTCCATCTGGTGGAGAACGAAGCTTCGAGACACCACGCTGCGGGACCACTTTTTTAATATTTCTAAGGTTTGAATTTTTGATTTCGAAATTCTATTCTCACCTAGAAGTCTAACCTTGGGTTAGGCTAGAGTTCTACGCGGAAAAGTATTTAAAAGACACACGACAATAAATAAATTTTATTGAACATATTTGATATTAATAAAAAATTATTTACTATTCAATTATGGAAATAAGTAATCTCGCTTAGTAAAAAAAAATTTTAATTATTATTTTTTCTAAACTTAATCTACCCACATTTCAACTCTTCCGGAAAGGACGAACTACCCTATTATAGCTATATATACCCGAATAAGCTAAAATGCGTTGCATATTTAAACCACCACCAAATTTTGGCTCTCCGCTCCGCATAGCCCATTATTGACTCCGAACAATTTGGGAGTACGACAACACTGAGAATAATTACACCATATTGTTGGTATCCATGAACATAACCGCAACAGCATCGTTGTCGACAATCCTCTTGGCAATATAGTCTTTACCAATATACATACATACATATGTGCTCTTCTTATATGCATGTTATGTACATACATAACACACATAACATACATACCTATATGAGAATCAGTGTAGCCGTGTTTGGCTTTTACATGAATATTCGCTCACTTTAGCTTTCGGCTATAAAGTCGGTATGTTTGTTGTTAGTCCGTAAAATTGGTTGGATGTTATGTATCGTTTAACTGTTATATTATTTCAGTTTAGGCAGGCGGGTGGTCGTTTAGTTTGTTTAGTCCTATAGTCATCATTTGATTATATCGATGCTCGTCGTTTAACTTCGTATGGATTTTGTTGTTGTTGTTGTTGTTCACGTATTAGCCGTAATAATACCAACCCCAGAAGCTTTTGCCAACAACAACAAGCATGCAAGAGCGTACTCTCGAACAATACCAATACAACAAATACATATGATATACATATGTACATACTTATACATTGGCATGTATATAAATATGTACATACATACATATATACAATACATACCAATATTCATTGGCATATCATAAATCGTAATCATGTTTCATTCAAGTAGCGTTTACGATTTATCGAATTACGCGCATTATTACTATTACAACAGCGGCAGCTATTAGCAGCTTTGCTAACCGCTATGAGCACTCAATCGAATGATTACAAATTGAGCACTCAGCCTTTGCTACGACCCCATCAACGGCGTAACGATGGGGTTGTGTTGGCGAAAATGTATTTAATTTTTAATTATAAGAACTTTTTTTTTATTTATTTTAGTTATAAAGACATTTTTTTATTTTAATTATAAAGAGTTTTTCTTTTAATTATAAAGAATTTTGTTGTTTTTTTTTCTTTTAATTATAAAGAATTTTGTTTTTTTTCTTTTAATTATAAAGAATTTTTTTCTTTTAGTTAAAAAGAACTTTATTTTTAATTATAAAGAATTTTGTTTTTTTTTCTTTTAATTATAAAGAATTTTTTTTCTTCATTTTGGTTATAAAGACCTTTTTTTTTAATTATAAAGAGATTTTTTTTAATTATAAAGAAGTTTTTTCTTTCTTTTAGTTAAAAAGAGCTTTATTTTTAATTATAAAGAATTTTGTTGTTTTTTTTTCTTTTAATTATAAAGAATTTTGTTTTTTTTTCTTTTAATTATAAAGAATTTTTTTCTTTTAGTTAAAAAGAACTTTATTTTTAATTATAAAGAATTTTGTTGTTTTTTTTTCTTTTAATTATAAAGAATTTTTTTCTTTTAGTTAAAAAGAACTTTATTTTTAATTATAAAGAATTTTGTTGTTTTTTTTTCTTTTAATTATAAAGAATTTTTTTCTTTTAGTTAAAAAGAACTTTATTTTTAATTATAAAGAATTTTGTTGTTTTTTTTTCTTTTAATTATAAAGAATTTTTTTCTTTTAGTTAAAAAGAACTTTATTTTTAACTATAAAGAATTTTGTTTTTTTTTTTCTTTTAATTATAAAGAATTTTTCTCTCTTTTAGTTATAAAGACCTTTTTTCTTTTAATTATAAAGAATTTTGTTTTTTTTTTTTATTTATTTTAATTATCAGTTTAGGTCTAGTAAAAGGTAATCCAATATTTTTGCAATAAATTGAAGGCTCTTTAACTTTTTGGCATTTTGAAGGTAATGCCATTACTACTCTCTCATGGGAACCCTTAGCAAAAAATTGGGGCAATCGTTTTTCTCTATCTACCCTTGGGGTCAGTTTTTTTCAGAAAAATACTTTCCTTTGCGTGCTAAAAACTAAAATAAAAAATGGTATGTGTTGTTTGATTCAAGCGAAAAATTCTAGTTCTTTCTACCAAACACCGCTGGAAGAAAT